GGCCAGTCAATCAGAGAACAGATACAATCTGCAAAACGCTGGTCGCAAGCGATTTGTCCCATATGATTATTCCATAGCCTATGCACTTTCTTGGGCATTGGTGTTTGAGGGTCTGTTCTCAGCTACATATCATCTGTGCCCATCCCGTCTCACATTTCAGTTTGACACCGCCTTTATGTTCATCATCTCCGGATTGGTGGTGATTGCACTATACAACTGCCGAGTGAGAAGCTTAAACTACATAGAAACACAAGGCAACACCACAAAACCCCCAAGTGAGACAACAATCCAGGCTCCAAAATACTTCTTGTTCTTTGTGGCTCCCTTGCTAGTATTCAACTATGTTGGCTCAATAAGGGACACCACTGGCCTTCCGCCTTTCTTTGAAGTTTGTTACTGGATTGCATTGGTGCTGTGGTTGACTCTCATGTACTTTTGGACTTTCCAGAAAGTAGGTGTGCCTTGTTATTGGAAGTGGTGTGGCGAAGATGACAACTGTCACAGTGTGGAGGCAATTGTGAAATGGGCGTGGTTACTCATGTTCCCTCTTTGCCTATTGGTCATTGGTTTTAAGCAGGAGAAGGATTGGTCCCAGTTTTTTCTGTTTTCTTGTGTGGCTGCGGTGGCATTAAGTATTCTGGGTTTGTTGAGCTTTGACACAGCATCAACCTTGAAGAGGCAGAGCACATCTAGTAATGGCGATTTTTGGGGCGGAATAAAACAGTTTTGTCATCCAAGCTGGATCTGTAAACTACTTTGGCGCAACTGGCATCGTGTACTGTATATGATTGGGACTTTCCTCTTTTGGGTATTTGCCATGTACTTCTTCAAGATAAAATCCACCACGCGTAAGGTTGAAGCTCCAAGCTATTCCCGCACCAAGAATGAAGAGTGTGTCCTGTGGGACTTCTTTGACTACCACGACATCTGGCACATGCTATCGTCGTTTGCACTCTTCATGAGTGGCTACCTTCTCATCTATGTAACCAGGAAAGTAGAAATCTACTTTTGGGTGGCGACCATGTACTGGATGGATAGACAAAAGGGAAGACAAAGACAAGCGAATGGATATGAGGGTAGTGGCGAGGAGATACAGAACGTTGTCATACATCCGACTCAAGACGATGATATATTGCTTGAAGGTAAGAAAGACGAAAATGGAATTAACTTAGAGCAAAAGAGGCCATTGAACAATGTTTTAGAAAGATACGCAGCTCATACTAACGATTATGCTAATATTTCTTATGTGTGATCTAATAACTCAAGTCTCTCTTTGCTACATTTAAGGTAGCCTGAGAAAACAGCCGACATTTGGCGACACCTTCACTGGTTTCCCCGCGAAATGACGTCTGAGAAACGAGTGCAGAAATTCCATACTGATGAAGTGTCACTACCCAGTTTTGGGTGGCACTCTTGATTGGCTGCAGCAAATTTCTCTCACGGCACAACCAATCAGAAACACTACCAAGATCTGGGTAGTGACACGTCATCAGTATGGAATTTCTGTGCTTGTTTCTCAGACGTCATTTCGCGGGGAAACCAGTGGTGGCGTCGCTAAATGTCGACTGTTTTCTAAGGCTACATTTACATGTAAGTATAACTATACACTGATCGACAATGAGTTTATTTTAATAAAGTAAATACTGGTCTCACTGTGTTAACTTTTCTAATGTGTATTCAGTTGAAAAGAAGTTTCATTACAAGTTTTATGGATTTGGTTCAAGTGGGAACTCGAGTTAACGGACAATATTTGAAACAACAATCATGAAGTAATAGCCATAATTAATCTTAAATTTTTCCTCTGAAAATGTTTATCTCTGACGTTATTACTAACTTTTATCTTTTTTATGACGTTAATACGTATCACTGATAAATACCGTATTTATTGGATTAAACGCCGCCCTGGAATAGAGCGTTTTGACATGACGCCACATCCGGTATTTTGGTATCGCTAAACAATAAACCTGTTGCCATGGTGATGTTGGAGTAGCAAACCAGTTCTGTGGTAGTTGCACCTTTTTCTTATGTGAAAACGTTCTTTTGTCCTAATAAATTCACAAAGCTGCTGGCCACGCGAGTGAAAACGCTCTGTAAACGCCGCCGTTGAATATGCGCCTTACCCAATCATACACCAGGGTGAAGAGAGAACCCCCGCGGCGTTTAATGGAATAAATACGATAATTTTCACTTGTAATTTAGCTTTAAGATAACAGGACTAACATCAGAATCAGATTCACTGAGTGCGTTCAGAAACTGATAAGGGACTCATCCCTTTAGAGTTGATAAAAGACTATTTATGTATGTAATAAAAATATTATTATGGCAATATTTAGCAGCCGGAGGCCAGTTGTTCGAAGACCGATTAGCGCTAACCCAGGTTTAATTTTTAATTCGGGTTGGTTTTTCCTTTGTTTAAAAAGTATTTTCTCGGATAACCTATATTATTTTTAGAGAATCCATTCACCAAATTGCAGACCAAGGGAATTAAACTGAATTTGCTTTTTAAGCTTTTATATTTGAATTCAAATTTCGCACTAACCTTGGGTTATCAGCTTATCCCCCGCTTTGAACAACCCAGCCAAGGTCCCTGAGGCCCGTTTCTCGAAAGTCCCGGTAACTTTACGGGCCCGAAATCAAATATTCAAATCGAAATATAAAGAATAAGAGCGCGGGTACTGGCTAACAAACTACTGCATTTTGTTTCGTTAACTGACAGTTTTATCGTGTTGGATGCAAAACTGTTGAAACCTCGATCTTTAATGTAAACAGAGACAGCTTACCGGACCCGTTAATCATCGGGACTTTCGAGAAACGGGACCCTAGGCGTTCTCGCGGCTCGGTAAATCCTAGACTTTACCGTGAGCCGTGACGTCACCGAGAGAGACTCGGCGCTCTTTCCCAGACTTCGTTCGTATAACGGGGCAAGAGAGAAAGCCCTAGGGACTAGGCTGGCCATTTAGTATCCATCCCGTATCCATAAAAATGGAATGCTGTGACACTGCTAACATTCATTTTTTATTTAATAGGTTTCAAACAAAGTTTTAAAATTTATCAAAGTTGTACCAAATACATCATTCTTAGCTTGTTATGATCTCACCTTTAAGATTTCGCTGTTTGTCGTTTCTGGCTTTTAAAATGTCATCTTTCCTTGCCAAAAGCGCCAAGAACGTTTTAATAAACAAAATTTTGTATTAATGAATTTCATGCACTTCACATTTTGTGTGGTAGTGAGTTGAAGGTACCACAACGGCGAGGGCGGTGAAAACATCACTTAACGAGTGATTTCGCTTTCCTTGAAACGGCAGCGCGGTTATCCCAACCCGGAGTAGAATTCCTAAACAAAAATGCCCAAGTTGAAAAACAAACAAAAAAAAAAAAAGCAAAAACAAAGGAGAAAATCGAACCTTACTCCAGTTAACAAGGAGTACGTGTTCATTAAAGGTCTTCCTCGATTCATGTGGAGTCTTTTTCGAGTCTACTTGCAGGCTGTTATACTCTCGGCGACTGCCACCAAAAGCTAGCTTCCAGTTTGATAAAATTGGTGGTTCCTTCTGTAGGTACCGAGGAACAGATTAAGTAAGGGACTGGTCATTATTTATCGCCCTTGGGTGGGGGGCGGGGGGGAGGATTTGGGGCTAAACAAGGTGAAATTTAGCCGATCCCCCTTTGAATGTTACTTCACCGAAGTGATCCTCCCTAAGAACATTTGATGACTTTCGCGACCCCCCCACCCATGTCTTCATTTTCCAAGCAAATTTGAGTGCCCCCCGCCTCTGAATCCTTTTAAATTTTTCAGTGGTCCCCCTCTTGGGTTCTCAGTTACGACTGATCCCCCTTTTTGTTCTCCTTAAAAATCAAGTGAACCTCCCAAACATCCAACGGTTCCTGCAGAAAGAACCAAATTGATTACTTTTTTGATTGGCAGAAGTTCCAGCCAGTCCCAGAGCCCAAGAAGGAGTGTAGAGACGTTCAGCCGTTAACAGGCAAAGCAGAAAAGTGTGGGATATGGTAGTCCTAGAGTCTTTTGAATTCTTAATCTATATAGTTGTGAGAGCTATTTTATATTTCAATTTAATATATTTAGTTTAAGATTGTGTGATCGATTTGGTGTAATTTCATAGACCATTACATTAATTGGCAGTTCCAAATGGATAGATTCTGTTGTATTTAAAAAAGAATTTTTTTAAAGTATTTGTAGAAATGTCTACGTCCTAACGAGGAAAGCCCTTTTACTGAGTAGTTTTACTAGTCTGCGAGAAAGCTCTCTAGTTTGGCTCATGGAGGACTAGACAAGCGGCGAGGGGATTGGGGCGGTTCTTGGACCACCAGTGTGATAGGATTTAAAAATGCGTTAAGTAGCAAGTTTATCGTTATTAAGGAAAGGACCACACCCGTGATGTTCATTAAGTTGAAAGACCATTTGTCTCTTAAAAACAAGTAGCTGTTAAAAATTCTTATTAAAGGCTAAACATATACGAATATTTGAAGGTTTAGTTATGTTTATACAGTCAAACCTCCCGTAAGCGACCACCCAAAATGCAAAGACTTAGTGGTTGCTTACAAGAATCGAACCACAGGGCGCCTCTTCCAAGAAAGAGGTTCGGGCACGTCTACTTTATGGAAGATAATTTATTGCATACAGTTTCTAAGTTAAACCATGTGTAGTTCCATGTTGTTGTTTAAGTTCTTCGTTTATTCTAAGTAGCACTTTGCACAAAGCAAACATAGAGATTAGAGAATGCGTCAAGTGCTCGCAAACAATAGGAAATCATTAAACTTTCTGACCCAAAGAGAAGTCGCGGTCGCTCACAGGAGGTGGTCGTTTACTAGAGATTCCAACTGTAAGGCTTTGTCTGGGAACGTTTTGGTGTTTGGATTGGCGGTCGCTTATGGGAGGTGGTCGCACATGAAGGTTCGACTGTAACAGTGAATGATCTATTCATGGGTTTTTACTGTACTGTTGAATTAATTTTATTACAGATTTAACTATCAAAAGAGAGCCTGTCGTCACCCACAATAGTTTTGTTGGACTGGAATGGGTTTCTTTTAGGAATAGATTCGACTTGGTTTGCGTTTATGCCAGAGTGATACTAAAAATAAAAGAGCGAAGTTTGGTAAATGGTTTCCTTATTTATGCAGCGACATTTCTTATTAAGGTAAACTGCTTTTACACGAGCAAGTCTCTTTAGTAGGAAGCTTCCCCCGTATAAATGTGGCGTTCAAAACAAGAAATAAGGTCCTGAAAAGTGGTTGGATTAGTACTTTTAAAGGCGACAGTGAAGCCAACCTTGAGCACGGTCCACGAAGGATATAAAAGCCAAGCAAAATATTTCTGAGCTACGATTGTCATTTTCACTGTCAAATATTTAATGACATATCCACGTCGCGGTGGTAATTTCTTTATCAATCAAGGGGTCGGTGGGAAAAGGGCACATCTGACAAATCTGGGTGTTATTTACTTTGATCAAACTTGCTAATTTTTCATATAGAAAGGGCTTGTTTTGGAGTGGTAATTATGATAATTAATTTCAGATAAAACTACGTGGTCGTAATGGCGTGGACTTGAATAAGAAGAGTATTCCCCCCCCCGCCCAATTTGAGGACGATAAATTTGAGGATGATAAGCAGAGAGGATAACCAATAGGAAAGACCCTTATACTAAACCAAGATTGTCTAAGCAAAACGCTGCAACGCTTTCAATTATTCTGTACTTTAAAATAATAAACTTCTATGATAAGTTCCTTACAGCAGTAAGGGGCGTCGACCGTTCATTGCCGTTTAGTCTGTTAGTCAGCCTCGCGCGTCGGTCAACTGCCACGAGTGTAGCAATGGACCTTGGGATCACAGCTTACTGTGGCCATTGGCGTTTTCTTGTTAAATGTCACATAGAGACATTCATTGCTGTGACAGAAGGTGTAAAATTTTGTTGCTAAACGGCTAGGCGATGCAACTTGCTGGTACCGTTATTTTGTAATTTAGTTCGTGTTTGTAAACGCTGCTTTGATTGTAGATCTAACAGTGTAACTTCAGAATGTCCCATTACTCAGCGAAGACTCTTTGAAAGCTGGTATCTTTTCTAACAGGAAATGCCTGGGGTAAAAATAAAAAAAGGATAAATTCAGCATTTTAAATTTAGATACTGAGGCTGTAGTCAGTGTACTTTGTGAACTTCTCGGAAAAGTTCGCAAAGTTTCTGATACGACGCCATGTGTACTTTTGCAAATGAAACTTCAATTTGGCGCACCCCGTTCTTCCAATAAAAGGTGAATAATAATATTCGCTTAAACGACTCGTTTCTCGGTAGTGAATTGAAAAAGGCCTGCGGTCAAAGTTCATCCGAGGAGGAAAGAGGGATATCACACGATTTTTCCACGTAAACCTCGATTACATGCTAGTTTCAGTCCATTACCGAGTAAACGTTCGTAATGTTCTTTGAAACGGTTCCTACCTCGCTCTCTCTGCCATCTCGTCACCAGACCAGCGCGGGCTGTAAGGGTAACCCATCTCAAGCTTCTCGTATGGTTGATTATTCTTTTCGTGGTAAATCGACTGAAGATAAAACGCTGGTGGTTCTTGAGGAAAGTTCCTGTCCAGTTCAACTTAAATTTTAGAGTAAAACGGAACAATAATAAAGGTTTCGAACTTGAAATATTTTCAAGCGTGGAGGATGGGAAAGTGGTTTGGGACAGCTTACTACTACCGTGGGTACCAGAGGTTTTTCTCGCCTGCGGCGGGAATTTTCGGTGTCGGGGCACATCTTCGGCCGTAAGCCGAAGCCACGAGCGGCGAAGCCGCGAGAAAAACGGGCGGGTCACTATTAAGACTTGACAGAAACCGGAAACCGCGCTAGAAAAGTCTCTAGCACCCAAGGTAGCTTACTACATGCAAAACCGAAAAAAAACCTTGTCTTTCCTCTTCCAAATGAAGACTGAGCTTGTAAACTGTTTGCAAGACTGAGGATAGAATCCTAAAGCGTAACTGTTTATGAAAATCAGTCGGAAGTGTTTCCCTTGGTGCTGTAGAAATGTATTGGGTAACACAGCATGAAATAATAATGAGACTTTTCTCCAGATTACTTTTCCTGAACTACGCAAGCCAAGAACTCCAGCCTAATCTCTGTAATATTAAGCCCTCCCCGAAGGGGACTGATTTTTCCAACCACTTTTTTGGGGGCGAGGGGTGCGGTCTTATTTAAAAATGGTCTGACAACTCTTGGTAATTCCTTTAGATTCAACGTAGGGTACTTAATCCATGGTTTGCAAACTTTTTTATCAGTCAGTTATCTTAAAACGAACCTTTGAGTTGGTGCAGTGTGTAGATAATGATTAACTACAGCCACAGGTGTTTTCAAATACTTTTTTCACATCAAGTGACTGTCATAACAGTTCAACAAAGCGTCAACAATCAGAAACTTAGCCGCGATTCAGTTCCGGGTGTTAAATTTCTAGCGCACCACCATTCAGCATTCAAGCACCAACCACACTCTCAGATGGAAACACAGGTTTGGATACAGCCACCAAACCATGCAATCATGCAATGAATGGAGCGATTACTAAAAAAATTTATAATAAGACCAAACGCACTTACTATGAACGATGCAAAAGAATCCTTGGACTTGAAATAACAAAGAGAGCTTCATGAAGCCCTCTGCATCATATTCCAATATGGAGCTGCAGATTAAAGAACCATAAAATAAGGTCATCCATTCTACAGTATTGTGATGCGTGAACTGTGGAATGTCGGGCAGACGTAACAGGTATTGGCAAGTCTGGCTCTCACTTTTGGAGTAATAAGTCCGACATCATGTCTTGCTCTTTCAAACAGGCTTGACGAAGCTTAATTGTTCTCCTGGATATGGCACTTTTCGAATGTCTTCCTTCACTGCACACGTTGAACCCGGTCAGTTGATCAACTAACAACTGTTCTCAAGGGTTTTGCTTCAAAGAAATAATGCCCCCACCCCTCGCAAATATTGCCAAGATCTCCCGATACTCTGTGGTTAAGATTTTGGATCTCTAGATTGCTAGCGTCCGTTTTTCAGTGGGCAAGACCCTGTCAGGGTGTCGAAGACGGGAGGGAAGAAACAAGCGGAGGTAAAATGTAAAGATGGAAGTGGGCGCCATTATTTAAACACGTCGGCTATAGAAGAATTCTCCTTTAAAGCTAGTGGAATCGCACGACCCGCTTCGCGCCTCCCAGCTGCGCGCGTCGTGTGCCCAATTTCTTCTCTCAAGCACCCGTTTAGCTAGGCAGGTTCCACTGTTGCGTAATTTTTATGTGCATGGGCACATAACTTTTACGCACGTAAATAAAGTAGAGACAATGTACAAAGGGTCTCGAGTAAATGTAAAAGTTGAGCGAGGTTCAACTTTTAAGTTTACGCGCGACCTGTCATACATGTCCTCTATTTTATTAACGCGAGTAAAAGTTAAGTACGTTTGCACGTAATAATTACCTAAGAGAGTACAATCCCCTCTTTCCGCTGTCATCAAAGTTGTCCGCTCACTCGCAAGCAGGGACTTTAAGATCCAACGACGCCGACAGCAAAGAGAACGTCGCTTAAAAAGTGAATTTGCGTTCTTTTAGTCTTTACAGCGATTATTCCTACCCACTTACTTTGTCAAATGTAGGCGAACCCTCCTGAAGTTGAATTTCAAGTGACCTTATTCAAGCTCAGAGAGAGAAATAAAATTTCGTCGTTGCTTGTTTACCTCCTTAAAACTCAAAATTAGGCATTGTCACGTCGAAGTCGTGCAAAAACAGGAAAGAAATGTACAAAAAAGCGTGATACACGTGCAAAGTTGTTGTTTTGCTTATTAAACCTTTTGTTTTTTTGACGTTCTCGTTACCGTTCGCGTCGTTGGGTCTTAAAGTTCCTACTTGCTCGTGAACGGGCCGACCCTCAGTGGCTGCAGGCAGTTTACTATAAAGACTATAAACGCGACCTGGTTTCTTACCTTCCAAACGCACTCAAAAAAGCTGCTACGTATTCTCTTCGTTTCTGGAATGCCTGACAAACTTGCTCAACCTCACAAACAAAAAACAAAAGATAAGATACAAAGGATAAGAATGAGCTTCGCAGGGACTAAAATGAAAAACTTACAAACATAAAGGAAAATGAGCTGTTCGATGAACGCTACAACTGTAAAAAGTTAAATCCCTTGTGTTTAAAAATTTTTGAAAAATAATCAGTTTGTACAGGAGAGAATGAAGTTTTCTCTCTACCACATGATCCTCTTTAATCAATACGGCCAACTCAACTACTGGCCCATATTACAAAAGTTGGCAATTGAAGGAAAAAAACTACAATAGCAGACTCACCCTTTCTGCAAAGAGTTCCTGAATAAGAGGGAGGTATTCAAACAGGCACCCATGAATTCCACCCCAATGAGGTATGCGCAAGTTACTTGAGCCACCGAATGCTCTACAGAAAGACAATTTATTGGTATTTTAATTGATTTCAATTAAAAAATGATGAACAGGTAGCTTAAATAAAATAACCTATACTGCTGTTTGACATAAAGCTAAAAATATATAAATACACAACAGTTTTGAGCACTACATTATGAAGGTGTTACAAACGTCCTACTTTGAGCCCCAAACCTTCCATAATGACCTGACAACTAGCTTCAATCTAAGACATAACACCCGACACAAAATAATATTAACTCGGTCAAACTTTTTTGTGACCTGGCAACTGCTAGGTAAAAGTGTCAGGTATTCAAATTTGATTAAAATGAATGTTGGTACCAATACTTGATCAACATAAATATTGAGAACAAAATTTGGTAAGCATAATGATCCCTCCTATGTGGCAGAGTGGGATTAACATTAACACAATATTGCTACCGCTCTGCTCTAATTGCATATTCAGATTTAAGGATTAACATTGTTCCAATGTTGCAACCACTGTGTCACCTTTCTACTCTTGGTGATAGCAGAAGTGTTGGTGTGACATTTTCTCCATTAAGGGAAGCATAGGACACCAATAAGCAGGCCATGTCATCTCCTGGACAATCCTAACAATGCGGAAAAAAAAAAAAGTAGGCAGGGTTCTATCTCGGATTTATCGTTTGAGGGAGAATTCCCGAGTGGCCGAAGGCCATGAGCTTCCTAGGGGGGTCCGGGGGCATGCTCCCCTGCAAATTTTTTGAAATGAATATGCACTGAGATGCAATCTGGTGCATTTTGAGACCCAATTTTGAGAAATGTGCACTGACCTCGTCGCGTCTGGATGATTTTTCCGATATAGTTACTTATATACTGTAATGATAACCATATTTTTTTGGGGGAAGCTGGGCATTTGGGGGGAAAGCTTCTACCCCTCAAAACCCTAGATAAAACCCTGGTAGGAATGAACATTTAAAACTTGTGCCTGGTCCTTATCAATGTATTCATAAAGCGTACAATTAATAGATGAAATTCTTAGACTGTTGAACTTTTGACATGCCTGGTTTCCACGAAATTGCTGAGAGGATTGTTAAAACTTCAAGGATCACTAAAAAATAGTTCAGCAATTTGACAATCACTGAGAACAATCTATGGACATTTTTCAGGATTGTAGCAATTGCAGTAGTATAACCCTGGGCCATGATTTCCCCTTATTCCTGATAATTCTTCCTGTCTCAGGAACTTTATCAAATCGTATGCATGGGTTATTTGTCATATATTTCAAAAACAGACCTCTGAATGATGCCAGGGAAGAATTGCAGAGATCTTAATATGAAGACTAATGTTTATTGTAGCCAGATACAATGATTGATTAACAAGAATTTCTCACCCTAATTAGGTATGGTGGCACTTCACGTAGGTCAACTGGAAGCTTGATCATAAAGTTCACTACTGTTTCAACATGCTAATACAACAACAACAACAAAAATAATCAGCAGAAAAATAAACATTATTACCAAAAGAAAGCATTAGAGAAAGTTCTACATTTACGTTACTTAACTCAGAGGCGTAGCGTGATATTTTGAAGGTGTATGCCCGCGAAGAAAAGTTAGAGTGCTGAAGGCACTTCAAACTAGGGTGCTCCTCCAGAAAATTTCTGAATTTAGTTTCTCGGCAATGTCACTTCCAGCCCTTTCCGCAGGGCATTTTCCATAAATAAATACAAAGGGAAATGCAGTTGTTTCTTTTACCCATATAGTTATTGGTATGACAGGTACAGTGTTTACGGAAAAAAATAAAGGGTAAGACAATGGTGCCATCAAGTGCTGGTTACAAGCAAATACGCTAATATAATGCGATAAAATTTATCTGTCATCCTGATTTAATGATAAAAATGCTTTCAAGGAAAAATACAAAAAATTTGCCAGGATTTCAGCTGTACGCACGGGCGTATGTGAGTATATGAACGCTATGCTCGTGTAACTATTGCCCACCTGTTGGCCTTTGATAACATGCACTTCAAATTCAGGATATTTTGTGTCAGCTTCAAGTGTACTGTATTCAAACTCAATCCTTGGGATTTCTTTAACTTGTCTTTTCTGGTGTTCCTTGTATTGAATGACAAGTTCTTTGATCAGGTTTAACAAGCTTTCAGGATCCGTTGCATCCCAGTTTTCTAGAGTCTATGGATAAGAAAAAAAGTTTGGAGCAGGCAAATGGATGAGGGAACAAAATGACTGAAGCAAAACAACAACAGCAAAAAAATCAAAGGAATGATTGATTTATAATAGCCTTGGTAATGGTTCATGTTGGTTCGGCCCATAGGCTTCGCTAAATGATGAAAACTGTTAGTGTGACCTTTTTTCTCAGCATAGTACAACAGTATTATATAGGATTTGTTTAAACAACCTGTACCAATGAGAGAGGCTTGTAACAGAGCAACCCTAAAACAACTTTACTTAAAAATCTACCTGTCAGAAACCCTGAGACATCAAAATACTGAACGTTTTAGCCAGATAGCAGGCCTACCATTAATTTAAGCTGTAGATCTGCCCATTATTCATTTTTGTATTTACGATAATAAAAGCACTTCGATCAGTTTTGAGAATAGACAAGGCTGTGCTATACCAACACCTGGTGGTCCCTGTGGGTGCTCCTGGGCAACCAGAAAATCATAGCTTTTTTTCATAGAAATCATACGCTGAGCACCATGGCTTTCACAAGTTCAGAGCAATTGGCTCCCTTCAATTTTTATAAGAGCACAACCCTGACAAAGAGAATATTATGTACCCAGCAGTCAAATTTCTTTTTTGACGTTCACTAAATCCATTTCTAATTCACTCCAAAGTTCTCACCACAAATTGATAGAATAGTTAATTTTATTTGAATACTGGGATGCATTTACATTGTAACTATAGTGACAGTAAATTGTCACCTTAAGCTCCTCAATGTTGGGAACAAACTCCTGATCTTGTGTTCCAAAAATAAAATCTGGTGGAAAATCTGGTTGCGCCTGATTAAATAATACCTCCCCTGAAAATTAAATTAAAATAAAGTTGGTAAAGATAATCATGTAAAATTCCTAATGAAAATGAACCATTTGAATATCTTAGCCTGTTTACAGACCTCTGATTGTCTTTTTTTTGTGTAGAACATAGCAAGTTATAATACAACTCTAAAACACATGTTCTGTACTAGTTATACAGGTAAAACATGAACATCCTTACATCTTAGTGTTCTACCAGCATATGGAATCAATACTTTGAACCGGTCGCAAGATCTGATGGTGTCGCATGGATATGACAAGCTGTAAAAAACAACAGGAAATTAACGAGTGTCATAATGCAAGCGTTAAAATTGCACTCGCGTCCAAGAAGAATGTTTCTACAACAATTTCTCAAAAAAGGGAATGGTATTTCGAAACAAAAATATTTGCTGTTGTTAATAAGACATTTAGTTGTGCTAGGAAGTAACTATCGACGACATCTATCCTCACTTTCATTTCGATTCATTAGAAATGATAATCATGTGTGTAAAGATTCGCCAATTCCATACCTTGTTTTTGGATCGGAAACTTTAGGTAATTCGCCGCAAACTCCAAACCCTCCATTATCCAGCAGTGCTTTTACAAACTTTGCGATGCCAGGATGGAAACGTTGCAGCACATCAGCCGCCATAACACGACAAAATAAATGAAAAACTCATCAAAGCATGTCGCGTTACAACAATAACTACATTTCCGCCATAAGAAAATTGCCGCGGTAGACTGGGGACAGTGTATTTTATATGAAGTAGAGTCATGTTTTGGTAGTATCCGCTGAAAACTGAAGTCTGTTTTTTTCTACGAAATGGAGAAACTATCTGGAGTATCTTCATTCTTCGTTCCTCCAAAAGGAGTACGAGGATCCAAGATCTTAAACAAAGAGGCCTTCAAAACTATCATCAGTCTCCCTGCCCTTCGAATCGAGGCCAAAAAATGCTCACTATTCTTAAAGAGTCTCAGCAAATGCTTGTTAAATCAACCTCGCTTGAGAAACATCGTGCCAGACACCACAGCGAAAGACAAAAAGCTTCTTCTTTTGAACCCGCAGAAATCATTGGCAAGTTTAAAGGAGCATGATCGAAAGTTTGCCGAGAGCCACGGAGCAGAAGAGACGATGTATGAGTTAGTTTTGGGTTATGAACATTGGACCTCTGAACAAGTATTGAGAGCAGTCTTGCCGCTTGAAATCAGTGAAGTGCCTTCTTCCTTTGAAACTATTGGACACATTGCGCATGTGAATTTAAGAGATTCACAGCTAGATTACAAGAAATTAATCGGTGGGTGTTTTTCCTTTCACACACTCCTAGGTCCTAGAAGACAAAGAAAATTTGGGATCAACCTAATGTTGGGTTGATAAAAAGTGGAACATTCCATTTGGTATAATGAGGTCAAAGGGTTACTGGTCATTTCGCCCCTAATTGGTTTCGCCCTGGTTTACTCAGCTCCCTTTTCTAGAACGACGAATACCGTATATCCTCTATTAGCCCCCTTTCAGGGGAAGAAAGTTAATAAGCCCCCCCTCTCTATTAAGCCCCCGTCCCTTCCCTAAGTATTCTTCACTATTAAAATATAGACTGTATTAATCAATCACGACCGTAGAACTTCGTGTGGACTGATCTGGGATAGTTTATTTACCAACTGGAAGTTCGGAACTGATTCTGATCTTTGGCTACACGACCTAAAACTTCTTGTACTTGAGCTTTTCCACTTCGTATATTTTCTAGTTCTTTATGAAGAACCGATACCATTGTCTTTTCTAAAATACATAATCCCCCTCTCTCAAATAAGCTCGGGGGCGGGGGGGTTAATAGAGGATTTATGGTATTACATTTTATTTTGAAGTGCGCTTGTTTTGCTTTCTGGCTTATACAAAGAGGAATATTACATTTGAAGCACGCTAAATTACTTGAAAATAGAGGACTAAGTAACCGGGGCGAAATTACCCTGCGAGCAGAGGCCCTTTGATCTTCCTAGATAAGTCAGAAAGAGGAACCTTCCTCTTCCCAATTTATCTAGGAAGATCGAAGGGCCTCTGCTCGCAGGGTAGGGCAAAATGATCGGTTACCAGTCAAAGTAATGACAATTTTTTTATATCTTCCTTAACAGGGCAAGTGCTATTGGACAAGAATTCACCTCAAATCAAAACTGTTGTAAACAAGACTAACACCATACATGATGTCTTTCGCTTCTTCCAAATGGAAGTTATAGCAGGAGAGAACAACTTGTACACCTCCGTAAAACAAGATGGTTGTATTTTTGAGTTTGACTTTTCAAAAGTGTATTGGAATTCTCGTCTTCAGGTGGAACATAGTCGTCTTGTTGAGCTCTTTGATCCTGGTGATGTTGTGTGTGACATGTTTGCTGGTGTGGGTCCCTTTGCTATCCCTGCGGCAAAGAGAGGATGTATTGTTTATGCAAATGACTTGAATCCAGCGTCATATGAAGCACTATTAAAGAACTCCAAGCTTAATCATGTGGAGAATAAAGTGCATGCTTTTAACATGGATGGAAGGGAATTTATGAGAAAAATGATTCAGTTATCAACGTCCTCATCATTAAATAAGTTGTCTTCAACATCATCATCATCAATATCAGCCTCATCCTCCTCCACATCACTATTTTCCTCCTCACCATCGTCATCCTTAATGTCACCTTCATTATCATGGGATAATTCTAGTGAGGATAATAGCAAAAATCTCTTAAAACCCTTTGCTCACGTTGTGATGAATCTTCCCGCAAGTGCTGTTGAATTTCTTGATGTTTTTCGGGGTCTGTACTCTGCGTACAGACACTTGGCTCTTCCCACAATCCACTGTTATTGCTTCTCTAAGTCCCAGTCTCCTGGTGAAGATGCAATGAAGCAGGTCGAGGAGAGACTGGGAAGCAGCCTTACAAGTCAGTGTACCATTCACTGTGTACGTGATGTTGCGCCAAAGAAAGTTATGGTCTGTGTCTCATTTAAGCTGCCAACTTCTGTTGCTTTTGCTGATGCTGGTCCTAAATCTGATACTGAGTCTAAGCGACACCGAGATGACTGTGGTAAGTGGATGTATAGCTTTTTTTTTTAGTTTGATCTTTGATGTAAGAGAGATACTAAAGGGCATACTATAAGAATTTGACCAGACCACCTTTCATGGAGTCTTTAAGGCATGAGCCAAGCCATCCTGATGTAGCAGGCCAGCTGGGCTAACCTGGCTGGCTCACCCATGTGAACAGGCCTCTAAAGATTTGGACTAAACTTGCCCTTTTTGTTCTTGTTCTTTCTTATAGTTCATGCTGAGAAAGACCCCAAACAGGCCAAGTTGGAACTGTGATAGTTGAGGAAAAATGAAACAAAGCATCATCTTTTGTTGTCTACATTTACATGTAATAAAGTCCTATAATTTTATTTTATTGAGTTGCTTATGTTTAATTGGTTAGTTTTTAATTAGTAACAGTCAAACCAGGTCAAATGTACCCCATTGATTCCAGTAATGCCTAGTTTTTTTTGGTGAATTGGGCCTTTTTTAATCTCAATCATTGTTGTGGCAGTGCTTATTCTCTACTTAGTCAGAGTAAAAAATCTTTGTGACATAATGATGAAGACATTGGTCACTATAAGTGTAGAAAAGATCACCAGTCACAAAACGAAAGCCTGAAATTTTTTTCGGGCTTTTTTCTTGCAACAACACAAGTTGCGAATGTTACGGCAATGATCTTCTCTACTTTATCACTTCATCGTGCAGTGCAAATATGAAATTTATATATTCATCATTTCATTGGTCTCTACTTTGTAATATCAAATTTACCAAGAAACTTGAGAGCGCAGAAATTTTATCTTTGAATTCACTACCCCCTATGCAGGCAAGTAAATTAGGATTCATGAGCTCAAGCTTGACTTGACTAAGAGGCTTCCTTTTATATAGCCTGTGAAGAAAATTGGGAAATGGGCGTCGCCCCTTTCCTGATTCTTTTCTGAGGGAAGGCTGTGTACAGGAGATCTTCAATAGTTATGACAAGTGAGGGGTGTCCGTTTGTTTCAAGTCATGTGCTTTATTAACTTTGGCCTGACATGGGCGTGTATCTTAATATTTCCAGTACTGGCCAGCAGTAGTTTTCTATGGCGCGCACAGCATCTAAGCCGAGATGTCTTCTCCAGGAGTCTACTAGCAAGGACGCATTGCTCCTAAAAGTAGCATATTCGTGCACGCTCCTACGGTCGTGCGAGTTCTTACTGTTCGCCAAAAATTCGTAGACATGATCGGAGATCGGAAAACCAGCGAAGTCAAACAATTCGGTGGCAAGTTTGTACGGCGATCGTACCAAGTCCTCGTAGCGGATCAGCTTGTAATTGTGAGGGAATTTGGCTTCCGCCGATAGCGCAAAGCTTAACGATCGTACCATGTCATAGCAAAACTTGCGCGCGAAAGTTTTAAACAGTGAGAAGTCTTTTGTGGCTGTATTAACCACATTGTTGTTTAAAGTCCAACCCACGCGATCCATCGATGCGATCACAGCTCTCGGATCGCGCATTAAGTGAATAATTTTCAGTTTACTGCTTGAATTAAACAGAGGTGCAAGTTTATCCACATCGAGAAGGGGTAGAAGACGATGCAGCAGAACTTTAACTACAATGTGTTTGTGAACCGCACATGAAAGAGATGTTATGAGAGGATCCAAATCTTGGCAGTGCATGTAGGTGCGGTTTTCTCGCGCGCTTGTCAAGTTCTTGCAGTAAGGCGAGGTCAAAGCGCGGCTTGAAAACCGATTTAAAGGCATGTTCGACATGAACGATAAAAACTCCCTTTGCTGATTAAATCTGCAACTGAAGATGTCGCGCAAAAGTCTCATTGTGGACTGCTCGTACAGTTTTGAATCGCGAACTGTGGTGAGCTGAAACGTTATCAGAGGCTCGTAAATGTAAAACACTTCTTGGTGGCTGTTGAAAATCTGTCCCAAAAATGACGAACCCGATCTTCCTTGCGCTAGGATCAGCACGTTCGTTTTTTCCTTGGTTGGCCTCTTTGAGGGGCTAAGGGACACAAGATTTGGATACCACGTAAAGGTCTTTATTACAATGCACACCACGGTACCAAGAGCAACGAGGGCCAATATCCCGGGCACTCGCCGAGGTTTAGCCATGCATACGAGTGGCCCTTTTCAAATGGGTGCTCTTAGCTGCCTTTTTGGTCCAAGACGGAACCTGGAATAATGGAATAAGTTTGAATTCAAATTTGAAATACAGATTTAATAAAACGAAACGGTTTTTTTCTTCATAGTTTGAGCAACAAAAAAAGGTAAGGCTTGAAGGAACGAAAGCCCTTTAAAGATTGACCGGCAGAAATTATTCCACGACCTCAACTGTGTATAATTATGTTGTACATCTCCATACCTTTGAAAGGTTGTTTTACGCGCTAATCTTTGTCATCTGTGTCATGCCAGCAAGGCAAAAGCTTAGAATCAACAAAAATATAATTCTAGACTTTTTAAACCCGCTTTTTAAGTCTAACCCATGTCTTCTATAAAGAGACTCTTTGCAATAAAGTTTGTTTTCCTTAACGATGACGAAACAAATTTTAGGTTGGATGTTTGCACTTTGCGAGAAATTGTCATATTACAATAAACCGGATTTCAGAAAAAGCGCATTTGAGCCTTTTTCCAACTGTTGTGATAAACCAAGCGGGCCATTTTTAACATCCGACGATGTTAAAGACATCCGAACATCTTTCCTTGAACAGCTTAACCGGTGATACAAAATTGTTGATATTTAACGCTACGGTGATCGTCGCGTTAAAAAATGGTCCTATGCATCCCTGAGTGCTAGAGCGTTAAAAAAGTACTTACCGTGTCTAAACAAATACTCGATTAAACTTCAAATCCAGGTTAAATCGGGCACTGAAGATCTCAACCCGCAGAGCAAAAGGCGATTCGGTTCACAAACTCCAGTCTGGGATGCAGTGTTTGCCATTGTGAAGTCGAGTTGCTTGAAGACTCGTCACTGACTCGCACTGTCGGTTTCTTGTGCTGTTGTCACTAGGAAACAGGTGGAATGTCATCGCTTCGACGGCTCGATGTTACGAGAAAAAAATGTTTGCTGGTGTTTGCACTCAACGTTTGTTTGCTAAACAACGAGAATGTGAATTCCTCTTTTTGTCGCGTCACTAAAAGTGGCAAATAATGCATTATACAGTCAAGTTCGGTACACTTGCACGTGCTATGTAGATAACGACTTCTTGCAACGTCAGATGGGAGACTTTCCTTTCCAAAACCCTGGGGCTGTACGCTTTTTTTCCGCGTGTCATATATTTCTCTTAGTTTAAAATAAACGATTACCGGATGCAGAAAAATTCCTAGCGCAAATTTGCAACTCGTTCGACTCGATTATAGCAGTGAAGTGTCGACTTCTAAAGTCTGACTGTGTGAGCGAACTGAGAGAATTTTGTTTAATTTAAGTTTTTTTCTCTCGCGATAAGATGACCATCCTCGAAAAGACTCTCGGATAGGAACAGACCTAAAGACACACGTTTTCCCGTGCTTACTTTTTTTCGGGTTCTGATTGGTTCTTTTGACTTTTTTCCTGTGATGATCGAAGTTGCTGTCAAGCACCAACACAGAGTCCAATACTGGTACACTGAAACAGGTTTTTAGTAAAAAACAAACGTTATATTTACGCGTTACAGTTCACTACATCAGGTCGTCACTTCTTAAAACTAAGAAACGTTAGCGCACCTAATTCTTGTAAATACTGTATACAAATTATAAACTTTAAAGTACTAACTAATACTACTGCCAACAAAATAAAAACTTCATCTGCCGTTGTGATGATTCAAAGCTTGCACGAGGCATACCACATCAAATAAATGCGGTTATTGTGGATTCAGAAAGGTTGTTGAACATGAGAAGAACCCATAGATAGCTAAGTCCCTTGACGACTGATTACGCGTGGGCTTGATTATCGATTTCGAAAGTTTCCGCCTTAGTGAAGCTACAAGACTGTAGTCAAGAATTTGATAGGTCAATTAAACATCAAAGTAACCGAACAATCCAATGACGAAATATAGGAACTAAAACATTAGCCTATCATGTCGCTGCTTCTGTCTTGTGTAATTGGCTTCGTCCATCTGATAAAGCTTTTCAAACTCTTCTCTAAAGTCCCGTAACGAGGGTTGTTGTTCACAGCTGGGTATGTTGAGAAGAGAATCGAATAGCCTGCCCCAAATGGGATTCCAGTACCTAAAAGAAATGGAACGATACACCCTTTATAGTTGACTATAATATATACCCATTTGATCATAATATAGCCCCGCAAACAGCCCTATCACATATCTACTTAAGCCCATTGGGTCTAGATCTAAATCAGCCGCAAAAACTTGGACTGCATAGGCCCTAATCAAGATAGCTGAAGTACAGTCAAATCTTTCTTAACGAACACCTCAGTCAATAAGATGGGCCTCTCGCTAAAACGGACGCCTTGAGTTGGTCCCTGCCTTTACATGACGGACATCTCTTTAAGACAGACACATAGTGGTGTCCGATAACCTGGGGCTAGTCAGTGAATTCTGTTCTTAACTTGCTCGATCGGCGAGTGATTTTTTTGGGGAATTCAAATTACAAGAGATATGTAATCAATCCTGCTCATCAAATCTTTTTCAGGCTGGTTGAAATCACTTTCGGGCTGGTACATGCTAGCTACGGTAAAACTGACTTTCTTTGCACGCTGCAAAGGTGTCCATGTAAGGGCCTGAATACAAGGAGAGAGGGTTACCTTTGTTCTAGGGTTACCCTAGCAAGCGGGTTAAAGTTAGCTCTGGTTTACAAGCAAATTTCACAGGTAGGGTTACCCTGTCATCCGGGTCAACTTTAGCAGTTTTACTGACGTGTTTCGTCATGCGTGACATTTTTTGTAACGTTCAAGATTTTAAATAAAACTTGAAGTGCTCTATGGAAAACACGTTGAATTCACGAAAAAAAAAGGAAAAATATTATCATCGTATACAGAAAATACCTTATATTGTTCAGATGTTTATAATTTAGCTCAGAAATTGGATAATTTCGTTCAAATTGTCAAGATTACTGGCGAGTTATCCTGTAAATACGTCGTGTAAAAACAGAAATATGCGAGTACTAGGGTAACCCTAACACTAGGGTTACCCTCCTTTCTTGTAAACAGGGCCTTACCGAGAGTTGACTGTATTCCCCTAAACAGTCCCGCATTTTACTCAACGGAATGCCACCATTTTGGGGGGTCTAAAACAGATTTTTTTGATTAACAGTGAAGTATGACTGTCCTTTCCCAGGAAGGCAAGTTGGAAAAGTTCAAATGCAACAACCAGAGTGCCGAGTGTTAAGTCAATTCCCCAGCCTTAAAAGAGATAGACAGGTGAACAAAACCAGAACGTACCTTCGAAAACATTTTGTGATTTTCCATCTACCTTTATCGTCTTTGTTAACTTTCATGTAATCTTGAAACAAAAGACAATGTACTGTGCCCAGGATACCGTACATATCAACCTGTACAACAAGGAGACAAAAACAACATCCGAATGTAGCTTAACAGACAACGTCAAGTAAGTTGTACAGTGGAACCCGGTTAATAAAGAGCTTTAGATTTGACGAAGAGGACGACTATTAGAACGAGTTTTAACTCAAAGTTTTTTCGCGTATTATCGAAAAATATTCAACCCGGAATGGTTCAATGTACTACTTTTCACCTGAAAAATTAGTGCGGTTATTTTTATTGGAGGAGGCTTTGCCCTTTACGGTTACAACATGATTAAACTTCTAAAATTTGATAACTTGTTCCCGCAACTACGACATTCTCGCTAAAACTCGTGGTAGAATGACGACGGCTACCACGTTTCCCGCCAAAATGACGTTGGCGGCGTAGGTAACTTAGTACTGAGGAAATCTCGTACTCATAGTCGTCCTCGTCTGAGAATCTAAAGCTCTCTATTATGGACACTAACACACATTTTGTAGTGTCTGTATTATCCGGGTGCCCATATTAAGGGTACTCTTAAGACAAAAACTTCATAGATTCCTTTTTTTATCTATATAAAGATACAAAAAGCAAAAAAGCGGAGGAATTGAAACTTGTGTAACGGGAGGCAGAAAACGTTATCAAAGAATTACAGCATAAGAGTCAAACAGCGGAAGAAAGACGGACTGACCAAAATCAAACACGTTACGCTCTCTCGCTACTGTTTTTTTTGGGGGAGGGGGAGGGTATTAAACCGTAGAAATTTTCATTATTTGAACAGTTTACAATAGTAACAATTGGCACACAACAAAACTAGACCTGAGTGCGCAGATACACAGCGTCCGTAACACGGGATTGGGGATATACGAGAGTTTGGGACACAGAAGAGTGTCCGTTGTCCGTATTAACCGGTGTCCGTATTAAGCGGGTTAATTTTAGAGAAAAAATTGAACTTTTCGACGGGACAAACGAAACTGTCCGATATACGGGTGTCCGTAGTGCGGGGTTACGCTGTAGCAGATCAAGTTGCGGAGGTTAACGGTACCTGCGTGGTCCAAGCTCTTCCTTCTTTCATCTCGATACACTGAAAGTCTTCTGTGTAGCAGTTAGCGGAGAAGGTTGTTCCAGCTGGGAACAACTTCATGTCAATACTGCGTCCAAAATCAATAAGCTTCAGTGCGGCGCAATCGGGTGTGTCTACATCGCTACAAGAAAAAAAGCCACCTTACAGGAGTTCAAAGAAAAGAGCCCTAATAAAAATAGACGGCAGGCAGTCTCTCTTTTTCTTCGGATTAGTGAAGGGAGTGAACGCACGCGCGAGCGTCGAAGCGATGAGACGCGCCAAATGAGGTCGGCAGCCCGAGAAGAAAAAAGCGCTTCTTCCGTCACGCGTGTGGTCATTTCGTGTCTCGCGCGTTTCACTCGACAGACCAAGAAAAACGAGAGACTGTTCTTAGTGTATACTTGAATGAAATCAGACATCTGGGAAGGTTGGGGTTTTGAGAGGAAAACGCGAATAACTGGAAAGAGATCAATCAGCGAGTGAAACTGAAACCAAGAGATCTCTTGACTAAAACCATATATTGCGTAACCTTCGAAATACTGGCAACCAGGGCCACAATGGTAGGAGCAAGAGAACTCATAATTGACTACGAGTAGACCCTCATTTTTCCCGAGTAAAATACACAAGCGCGCTTGAAAATTGCTACGCGCGAGGAAAAGGAGAAACGCATGACACCTTCCTTGCGGGTGGCAATTTTCAAGCACGCACGCGTTATTCACTCCCAATACTATCCCTTAGGAAAACGAGGGACTGATTACTCGTAATCTAGACACACAACGGCGCCAGTCTTACGTTTCAAAATAGACTAGAGGTAAAGATGAAGTCTCTGCCCTTGTCAACGAACTCTTCACTCTACTTACGTGTCCAATACAAGGAAGTTGTCTGGTTTAACATCGCCATGGATGATCTGGCACGAGTGTGACACTTCAAGGATGCGCAACAGTGCGATTGTGTAAAAAAACATTACACCTTCTTCTATGCTCTTCTTATTGAGTTTGTATTTGTTCACCATGTCCTGGGGAAAAGACGTTCATTAAATTAACTTTTTATGAGGCAAGAATAGTGGAATTAGTAAGAAGTTTGTTCAAGGACACAAAAGAAAACTCTGTCCACAAGATTTTTGCATGATGCTGTATTGAACACGGAGTAATATAACAACATATGAATGTGTAATAAATGGGAAGTGTGGTCGCGGGGTTACTTAACCCAAATGGTTCGCAATTATACGAAATATCTCTTTTAGTTTGAAAATAGCATTCAACAACGTCTAAGCATGTTTGATCTCTCCTAATTTTAAGTTTTAGTGGAAGGTGTAAATCACTTTCCTTTCGGTGCCAATAACAACATTGTAAAACAGGCTTTTCTTATAAGGTTCATTTATATTAAGTAAAGATTCAAGAACGTGAGTGTATGTGCTGTGTCTTAGAACGGTTTTCAATTGAATGTCGCAGGAACAAAAGCAAAGTAGTTTACTTTGACCAATCACAATGAGCACAAAAAAGACAACAAACAAAAAACAATCCGTAACAAAGTATGTAGCCGACGGGAAGCGCAGGAAAAAGTGTGCAAAAGTCACCATTGCACCTGATTGGATTGCATACCCCAAGAACAAAAGCAAAAAATTACTTTGACCAATCAAAATGAGTGCGAACAATCCATGAGCCAATCAGAAATTGCAAAAAAATTCTATAGCCGTGGGGAAGAGCGCGATATTAAAACGTGTGAGAAAGTCACCATTGCACCTGGTTGGATTGAATGTTACAAGGACAAAAGCAAAGTAATAAAGCTTAGATGCTTCTGCCTTAGACCAATCAAGAATGAGCGCAGACAACCCATGAGCCAATCAGAACATGCAACAAAGTATGCAGCCGACGGTAAGCGCGGGAAATTAAACGCGTGAGAGTGTCACAATGGAACCTGACTGGATAAAAAAGGGCGCGAAAAAATAAACTGGTAGTGCAGTGTACCGAAGCAATGTTACTGTACTCACGAGAATCGTTCCAAGCGGCTTGTATCTATCCAGCAACACGGACGATTTGGAGTAGACATACGCTGCCAGCGGATTCATAAACATTTCATGCTAAACAGATAGATAAAAGACAAACAATTGAAATTGTTAACAACACTAACAACTGTTTTCCTTGGGAAGTGAAACACCGAAGTGTTTAAAATACACAACTAGGGAGCTTAAACGCATTTTTTTCGCGAATTATCCTTACCAGATCCTTTGAACAGCCAAGAACTTGCATTCTGTTATGAAGTTGCCTGCTGATGTAGAACTCCCATTCGATGGAAATCTTCTGAACCTGTAGTTAAGATCGTAGACTAGGTTAGCCGGGGAGCTACTACACCAGAGAAAACATAATTTATCGGTTAGTTAAAAGTAAATAACATTTACCTTCAATACAACCTTCTCATCGTCAGTCTCGTCATCAGGTCGTTTGCTTGCCAAGTACACTTTGGCAAAAGCTCCTGACCCAATTAGATTCTCTACGTGGTAAATATCATCATTTCCTAAAATATACAACATGAAACAAAACAAAATCACTGTTACAGTATTTTCGTAATCAAAGATCCCGGCGTTGTTTGGTGAATCCAGTAGTTATTAGAGTCAGTCGTTACTCAATTCGGCCCGGTGTTTACTAAGCAAGGGTTTTCGATAGGCGCTTTTTGGACAGTAGAAAAATATATTTCCGGACTCGTGTATAGGACACTAGGGGGTCTTAACCTTGTAATTTGTCAAAAACGATCATGTGATTGTTACTGATAATTTTGTTTTTGAAACTAAGATATTGCAGTTAAAAAAATGAAAATGAGGATATTTGGATCCTCACTTTTCACGGAAATTAGTTCACTGTTTTAACACGAATTTTCCGCCAAATGCCGCGTCAAGCAAAAGCCTGGAAATTCAAGCGTCTTCTATCGCAAAACAAAGAACCCTTTGAAACTTCGAAAAATTTGTATAAATAAAGGTTTTTAGGTGCTGTAAAACTTCATGAAAGTAGAAACTCAGAAGACTCGATAGTTCTTAGTTTTGGTGACGTCATGTGAAAACCCCTAATACATATGCGCGCTCGACGATCTCTAAAGAGAAAATAAAGGGTCTGTTCACAGACTAGTTCGACTGGCACAACAAAAATGGGGGCTCTGATATTAATAAAACGATTCCTAACCTACCAAAACACACTGAAACATTAGTTGCAATTTTTGGCATCTCCCGGCTGCAAACAGTAAATCCTTCATAAGCTAACAAAGGAGGGTTAATCCTGCTAAGAAATGCATCGACAACATCGCCCGCGAAGGGATTGACCACAGCCGAACCAACACTGGTTTCCTGTGGTAAAGTCTCAGCCTGGCACAAACTTGTCTCTTCTTGGATTTTACTCAGTTCCAGTCCATTATGCTGGGACACAGTTGAACACGAGCCTCGCCTTGAAGACCCGTTTGACAAGTGGCTAGAGTTGGTCGAGTTGGAGTCTTCGTTGCTTCCCTCAAATATAGGGCTAAGGGCTTTACTGGGCGTTGAGGCAAAGCTCGCAGCGTTTGCACAAGCGGATGAATATTCCGCCTCCTCAGAAGTTAAGTCCTTCATCTCTGAATTTTCATTGGTTGGACGGATTGTGCTCCACGGAATGTTGGGTAGCGAGGATGGGCCAATGCCAGAGCAGAATGGAGTCGAGGCCATTCGGGCGGCGGCAGCGAAGCTTCCTGTGGTGAAAGCGGTTTGATCGTGAGTGAAGTCTGCAAGCGACACCTCGCTAGTTTTATCGCGATGGTAGGATGGCTGACAGCTTTTAGGAAGCAGGTCTGCGTCATTTTCTTCATTGTGACCAATCATTTCATCGTCTTCATCTTCACTGGTTTCTAATGGGCATGTGGGAATGCCTACAGATGGTTGAAGTATCCCAGCCAATGGACGGCGCATTGCCTCTTGCTGACTGCCCGTTGGAGGCCTACACATGTCCAAAAAAACAGAAATTTGCATTTCATGAGATTTCCAAAATACTCCTTTAGGATTACCGTATTTATTCGAATAAGCGCCCATCCTAAAGGCAGAAAAAGTTAATAAGCGCCCAGCCTCGAATAAGCGCCCACCCCCTCCTCCTCCCAATCAAACTCAAATAAGCGCTCACCCCCACCCCACCCACTTGAGTGAATAAATTCTAATGAGAGACTTCCCCGAGGACGGAGTTTTCTTCAGAGTATTTTACAGAAACCTTGCTTTGTTACTTCTTCGCGTTTTGTTATTAGCATTTATTGTTTTGTTGCAAAATAAACATACTTCACTTGCTGAAAATGGTGAAAATTTAATAAGCGCCCGGCCTCGAATAAGCGCCCTCTCTCAAGGTCCAAAAATTTAATAAGCGCCCAGGGCGGTTAATCGAATAAATACGGTATACGAATACGATTACGTTTTCTTTAATAAGTTTGTGATGTGTTTACAACTTAAACGGACAAAGAAAACTTGATGTGACACCTGCACAATCCGCCAAAAAACCGTATCATGTGAAGATGCTCTTTTACAAAAAAACGCAGAAATGTACCTAAATCACCTAGTATGTGACCAGGGCTCGAACGCGGAAGGTAGAAATTTGTTGTTAATTCTCTCCTTTGCTCCGAGAGATTTTTCTCCCTGTTCTCCGGTTTTCCCCTCTCCTCGAAAACCACCAATTTCCATTTCCAATTCCAGCAGGAATGGTGGACGAGGGGCTATTAAGTGAAAGTTTTACTACTAAAATATCAGTCATTCATTCCTTTCTTCTTTCTTTCTTAAAGGAATTCTCCTGGCATAGACGTTATTAAAGGGTGGAATAATTAATGTTTCAAAAGGTACGAAGAAACTTACATATTTTCTTTATCTTCTGCGTCATTTTCTTTGTTTGCTTTGTTTTCGTTGTTGGTAGCTGTTTCATCATAAATAACGAATCCACCAGCGCCTCCAAATCCACCTACAGTACATTAACATAAACGGTTCAGAAAATCAAATGTAGTGAAAACCATACAGTAAAACCCCGGCGAGTAAACCTCAAATTTTTTGGGAAAAAAAAAGAAAAGAAAAAAAAACTTGACCGTTGAGTATTCTAGCAGTGTTTCACAAGTCATAAAATTGTTTCAATAAAAAAAAAAAATCTTTTCGACTTTGTTCCTCTTTTAAACTTGGATACGGTCTTTGGTTACTCAATTTCAGCAGAGTCTGTCTATATACTTGACAAATTTAGCGAGTTGGAATATAATCACGATGACATTTGAAAGACCCCAAATACACTTCATTGCAAACGACGGTTTAGCTACCCTGGCTGTCATGGTATCTTACTCTACGTTGGCTTTTTTTCCTCTATAAAACTATGCCCTACCCGCGATTAAAGCCAAAAGCCCCTTGATAGCCTGTTCACTGACCCTCTATTTTCTTTTCAAAGTCCGTCGAGTACGCGTGATAAAAAATAAAAACCGCGGGGGATTTATTGACCGCCAGAAAAAAGAAACGAAAAGAAAAATAAAACGTCTGTGTACAGGCTAGCTCTGTAAAAGATAAAATGAGGCCAAAAATATGGCCCATTACAGGTTCAAGCAGCAAGAGAGTGGGAAAGCTTGGAATCAAATGAGTCACTCTTCATGTAAAAATCTAAAAAACCCATCGTTCTATTAAAAAAATTAATAATAATAATAATAATAATAATAATAATAATAATAATAATAATAATAATAATTCACTTAGGAGAATGGTAACTTGTACCTACCTAATCCTCCTAACTCTGCAGCGAAAGAAGTACGTGTAGTATGATCATTACTGAATGCCGCTTCAAAGTCTCTATCTGTCTGATCCAGTTGAGTAAAATCACGTTCCGACTCTAGGGGCCCAGCAAACATGTCACGAACTACCATCAGCGCCTGCTTGGTAAATACAGTCGGCGATGGGCCAGTAAGATTTGAGCTGTTTAAATCACCTGATTTATTGGCGTCCGGGGTTCGAGAGAAAACGTTGAATTTGTTGCCTGTGATTGACTCATGTGGAAAAGGCATGCCATTTACCGAAGAGGTCTCAGGAACAGAAGCTGCACCCACTTTAGAGTCACTTGAAGGGTTTTGAAGTCTGTTTTCCTGATCGTGGTGGTTTGAAATGTTTGGTGGTCTACTTACTGGTGTAACTTGGGGCATCAACTCGCTGGATCTGTTCTGTACTCCATAGCCTACAGGTCGAAAAGCAGATTTACCATATCCAAACTGAGGAACATTTGATGGTACAGATGGAGCGTCAAACTGTGATCTCTCATCCAATGCACCTGAATTTTGTACAGGCGGAGTGCTGTAGTGATCTGCAAAAGCCAAACCCCGCCTGGCTACTGGCTCCCCACTGTAAACGTAAAATCATTCACAAACATCACATCGAAGAAAAAATACACTTTCTATAAAATACAATAGTCTTCTTTATAAATGTGCTCTCAAGAGTGGTGAACTCTCCAAAGGCAAACATTTCCCTCCCTTCAGTTTCTGAGATTATTAAATTTTGTGACTCTTTTCTTGACTGAACCCCATTTTCTCCTTTTCAAGACTTGAGGTAGCTACATTTATACCGGTAAATTTTCAAACCTTTCTTTTGCCCTCAAAATCTATTTGGCTTGCATGAATTCAGATAAGTTTAATTTTTATCTGATAACACTTTCTCAAACTCATTAATAATTCTTAAAGAAAATACAAAGGAAATTAATGTTCAATGAGTGTTTGGAAATCTGATGAAAAACTGCTCATTTTTGCATCCTTAATTTCTCCTTCTAAAATCATTGTGTTTGAAAAGCCCACAAAAAAATCTGCCACCACTGGGACGTATCACAAGAGTCTGCATTTTGCACCCAAAAATTCGATGCTGATGACGTAATTCTGCCGAGAATCTGGTGAGGTTCTTGCTTGCTTACTCTCCCAGCATTTGTTTACAAATGAATGGCAAAAGTAAAAAGGACACAAAGGTTAAGAGAAATCCCACTTAATGATGTAGCAAGAAAGACTTATTTCCAAGGAAAATAAAGATTTTTGTTGATGTTGCTGTTGAAGTTTTTAAGCCAAAACCAAGTCTCTGTCTCAAAATGTTACCCTACCAGGGCTGTCATTAAGTTTTGAAACAGCCGTAGCAAATGAAGATTCACCCGTAACATCTCTCAAGAATTTATAGTGCCACCATTAGCTTTCCACTTTGATCGCCCGTAACATCAAGTGAGCTCAGCTGTAACAGGTGTTACGGGTTACGGCCCTTAATGACAGCTCTGCCTACAAGTGGGAGGAAGCGATAAGAGGTGGCTACATAAATTGCAGACTTATCCTACATATGGGGCAGTAGTGTATAAAATGCTTGAATAAAATCACCTGCTTTGACTTGCCAATGTGAAATGATTGTTTTCCTCATAGCTTGGTCCCTGTGTGGCCTTGACCACGCCCTTTTGACAGCTTCCTATGTCCATGGGGCAGGGATCTTCATTGCTGGGCAAACCTCTGGAGCTCTCAACAAAGCTTGAAGCACAAGTCGATTTTTTAGAGTCTGATTGGTTAACTTCTATCAAATATTTCTTTCGCCGAGCCAAATACCTTCTTGCGAGAATTTCCTCATATTGAAACTCACCCTCAAATGAGTAGACCTCTCTCTTAGGGTACATGTATCTTACATTTTGTTGTTGCTCTTGCTTTACGTCTGCTGGTTTATATGTTCCCTCCCTTATTTTTGAAAAGATCCTAGCTGCACGGATTTCCTCGAAGGAGAATTCCTCTGTTCCTGCATAAATTTTGTCTTTGCAGTACATGACTCTGGTCGTCTGGATTTCAGCATTTTCTGTCTGTAAGTAAGGAGACAAAATAGTGGAAATGATACATCCAAGGAATAGCTACAGGCAACCCAAGTTTTACTGAAAAAAGACTAGTTGGCCTGAAGTAAACAGTGTGAGTACACCGAGGTCATAACCAACTTGGTAAGCGTGGTACGGAAAAAATGAACAATGATTCTAGGTGCATAGATTCTGAGTAGTTAACAAAGCTGTGTACCCAAGCTTAAATACAAGAGGGTCCTCTGAAGGATTTAAGTCTTGTATGTGCTGAAATTTTCCCTCTCCACATAAAAGAAACAAACTTGATTGATTTCTTAATAAGCCATGTTTCAGGTTAAAAAAGACCAGTCATGTAGCCAGGGTTTTCATAAAGAATTCTAGTAGCAGGAAAAAAGTGTAACGTTACAGGAGAACATTATTTTTGAAAGAGGCTCCAAGTCTGCATAAAAGATAGTCATAGGCTATTGAACATTAGCCGGAGAAATCTGCATGGTAAATGGAGATTTCTCAGATCTTTGATACCTAATGGGAGAATTCTGTGTAGTAAAAAGAGAATTCTTGGATCTCCAATGCCTAATGACACACCCTGCATAGCATAGCAAAAATGGTCGGATATTAAATTAAAACTGCGTCAATTTATGGCTTGCTTTATCCAAAGTAAACATGCAGCAAAAATGTACATGATTCCTCACAGTACCTTATTTCTAAGGGCTTCCATGACAGAGTGCTTATCAGGCTTTTTTGCACTCAGTACTTTGTCAAACTGCAAGACTTGCTTTGGAGCTGGAGTGGGGTGGTTAACAACGTCATCATCTACATGGACTGAAAAGGTAGGCTTCTGAGGCATACATGTACCATTGAGGGGAACTGAAATCTGATTTCTCTGAGAGACCTAGATAAAGGTAAGCAAAATCATCACTGACATTGTTTTTTCCTTACAATGTAGTTGTTGTGCAGTAAACTAGTCTGCTCCACAGCCGTGATTTTTTAGCTGTCACGTGATGACACGAAGAACAGCTGTGCAGAAACAGACCAGTTAACCTCTGCAAAATACTATAACTTCAGCTAAGAGGTGGGTGGAATAGGAGGGGGGAGGGAGGGGGTATGCCTTTTGTTTGTCTTGTCCCAGTGCAACTTTTGCTCTCCAGCATGGCAGTTTTGTGAATTCATGGCTAGCTGCAGAGCCTGTTACACTTTTATAAGCCAATATTAGCCTTCTTAGATACAAATTACTGTACCTTTGCATCAGTCCATTTTCCAGGTTTTTGTGTGTTTTCCTTCTTTATCACTGGTTCTGTGGGGGGCATTTGCCACTCTCCAGTAGACGGGGGTAGAGAACTAGCAGCATCAGGGTAATCATCACAAAAAATTTTAAAACCACCACTTGATGTGTTACCAGTCTGGAATGCAGCAACACTTATGCCACCTTTACTGGCTGAAAGAGCAAGATATCATTCAATAATATTATTAGTAACTTACCACCACAACTAAGCTGAATATGAATATTGGATTGTTCATTTTATGAATTGATTATTGAATCAAGAAACAAAATCATTGTTTTGGTTACTGTAACACCATAAGATCTTAACCAGGCCGCAGTTGACTTGTTCAATTGTTTACTAGCGCTATTGATCAGACATATCAGTATCCAACGGATGAGCAGTGGATGTCATTTATCCAGTGTATAGTGCTATCTTTTTAACAACTGGGGCCAGAGTTTTAAAAGTTGGAATCATTTGACAAATCATCTCATCAGATTTCCATCAGTATTAGAGTTGGGTGGGGTGGGTAGGGGGGGGGATTACACTGTACTTACAGAGAGTTGCGTTTCCAGTTCGTTTGGTTCCCACTGTCCCTTTCTTGCCTTGCCTCTTCAGACCACCTAATGTGGTTCGCTCCGGTTCAGAATTTTCCTGCAGCTTCACCTCTTGCAATCCATTGGCAACTCTTTCAGTCAGGCGCATCTCAAATGCCCTTAATCAAATTACAAAGGAATGTCCATCAGACCTGTGCTCTAGCAGCACCTGGCTGGCCTGTGGCACCTAACTTTTGCTTCTGGGCGACTAGAACATCTTAGTTTTTTTCATAGAAATTATATGCTGGGTACCTTGGATTTCACAAGTTCAGAGCACTGGGTTCCCTTTAGTTTTTCTGAGAGCACAGCATTGATTCCTAAATGAATATCTCAACAGTGAACAGGGATCCCAAACAAAGCAAAACGATCTTCCTACCTGTGTTGTTTGATTAGTCTCTCCACCGGTTGAGCATTTCTATGGATCCCTAGGTTATAGACTTCATCTGCCTTCTTGTGATCCCCGAAACTCTCTAAAAGCTGAGCCCAAGACTCGTAGAAAAGAGCTAGTCCACTGCAAACTTGCTGACTGTGCATATAGTTGAAAATGTCCATAGGATTTGTAGACATATCACTCTACAGAAAGTTAAAATCATTTCTATTATTGTGAAAATATTTATTGTAAAATCATTTCTATTATTAATAATACAGCTGGGCAATTCTGTACATTGAAGACATCATCTTAATGTTTACATGCAAGATTTAATTCTCCAACATTTGCCATGTATCTAGATGTACATGTACACTTGGTAAAATCTTTCCTTCCCCCTCCCTGTCTCAAAAGGGACGGATACATTCCCTAACAGGCCAATAAGAATTCCAGTACGGATTGCCCCTCTTGCCCCTGGTAGGGGGTTAATGTCATGCCCCATCTCAGTTGCAAGAAAACTACATTAATTGAACTTCTATTAAACAGCAACCTTTGGGGTACTGGCAAGTGGCCGCTTAATAGCCTGCATAGCAGGCATTAGGAATACATGGGCACAAGAAGGAACGAGACGTGGGAGAGAGACTAGCCTCCGTTAGCCGCTAATGGAGGTTGGCCACTCAATAGAGGTTTGTCATAAATTAGCATTAGTATAATCTTTAGTACAAACATCACTTTATTGTGAATCAAACATGTGATGGGGGAAGCAATACCGGTCCACAATTTGTCGTCACCTACCTCGGACTGTATTTTCTTCATCATATTCTTAAAATGAAGCCAAGCTAAGTGTATCAAGTGCTTGATGGCTGCTCAGTAGAGTTGAGAACAAGAGGAGAACCTCTTGTTGGGATGGTTGCTTAACAGAGGTTTAATTAACCATTCTTTTCCATAATTACTGCAAAATTCCGAAAATGAGCCCCTCCAAAATGCCCCCCAAACTCGTAATGCAAAAAACCCTCCGTTAAATCGCCCCTCCAAATATAAGCGCCCCGGGGCTTGTACTTGGAAAATTGCTCTCAAATACAAAGTAAAACAAAGCAAAAATGGTAAATTTACTTCCAACAATAAGGCTAGCACAATCGATTTTGAAACGCAAATTTCCCCCCGTATATAAGCCCCTCCAAAAATAAGCCCCTCAAAAAGGGCCTTTGAAAAATATAAGCCCTGGGGCTTATTTTCGGAATTTTACAGTATTTTGAGACTTTGATTACTGTCCACTTAATATAGGGCGGCCGTTTAATCGAGGTTCAACTGTACCACTTAAGCCCCTCTTTTTACTAGCTTTTTTTTAAATCTGCCCCCCTCCTCCTTTCTCCTGTGCAGCTTCACTTGCTGCCCGCGCTAATCAGACAGGACGAGGGACAGCACTTTTCTGGTGCCACAAGTGGCCAGGTATTCTGAAGTTTAACCGATCCTGAGGATCAAAAAGTATAAAATCCTGCCAATTTTAATATTGCATCACTGAACCTTTTCAGTGTAAAAAGGCAGCATAAATATAAACATATACTCACGTAACGAAGCCAGACTTTGGCATATCGTTCATCGTTCTTGTATCTTTCCTGGTCCTTGAAAGTTGTCATGCAGCGCTCCAGCAGATTCGCTAAATCTTTTCCACCCTTGGGAAAGTTTTCACTTGTCCAAATGATGTAACTAATACAATGTAAGAAAATCACAGTTAACTTCGGTTCTAAAATCCTACTCTTTTACTTAGCAAATAGGTAGTCGCAATTTCTTTTTGCAAGATTGATTCAAAGATATGATCTTTGGCTTGCACACTCACCGGTACCAAATTTCTAGAGGGTCTTCCCCTTCGTATGTTCTAAGCTGCGCCTCAAATTCCCTTTAGATAGAAACAGAAGAGGATCAGCAAGATTGACAAGCGTTTCGAAGTGGTAAAATAATATAAAACACTTACTGTTTCTCTCTAAATATCCTCGTTTGATCGACAGAGCTTGGAGCGAGCGCGGCGGTGAGGTTCGCCATCTTGCGGCCCTGTTTTAGTGGTTGCACGTTCTCTTTGCTTAATTCCCACTCGTTTCCACTGAAGGAATCGGTGCTTCCTTCCATCTCCAAGAGACTTAAAGACTTTCAGCAACCGATTAAGGCTAGAAAGACAACTAAAAGTAAACTAACTTGACAACAAAAACACTTTTGCCTCAGAAGCAAACATCGGGCGTTGATTTCAAAATCTCCCGCCGTATGACCGCTGTACTTACTAATCGTGACCTATCAATTCGCATTGAATTCTGGGTCACTATTCATAGTCAACATGGCGGAGAAACACGCGCTTGCTAGTGATGCCGAAAGTGCGTACGAAAATGGCAGTTTTAAACGACAGAGAGTTGAATATGAAGGAGTTAGAGGACACGAACAGAGCTATTCTCAAGGAGGAAGCACGGGAACTTCCTTTATACAGCCGCCTTCTCCCGTGATTCATGTTCGTGGTGTAGCCGATGAAGCCCGTGAGCAAGATCTTTTACACGCGCTGGATGAGTTCGGGCCAATCAGGTAAAGTGGCTTCTTTTTTAGACAGTTTTGCAAATTTAAATGACAGGTAGTTGATGAATATTTTTTGCATCCTAGCGTAGGCTGTTCGTCCTGGCTTATAAGCTGTTTTGTTATTCGTGTATGTTGCTTCATCATTGAACACCTTTGAAGACTTCCACAAAAATACATACACATGTGTAACCGCTTCGGCGCTTCGGCGCTTCGGCGCTTCGGCTTAACTGCAGTAACTGCAGAATACCCTGCCACTTCGAAGCTGTATCCCTGAAAGAGCTGGATACGTGGATACGCAGTTATCCCTTTTATGCGCTTTTCTACCTTCAGTGGCTTTAAGAAATAGACATACTGTATGCAGTTTATGCTGTCTTTAGTGCATATATTGAAGTGGATACGCGGTTACGTTGTGACTATTATTTTAAAGATGTTTACTAAGTGGATATGCAGATACGTAGTGGCTGGTGACTGAGTATCCACATATCCACCTATTTTTAGGGGTTGCTTTAAAGTTTCAGGGTATTCTGCAGGGTATTCATGCATCATGTAAAGTGGGCAATTGCATTTAATACCCACACCATCCCACCGTCCAACTCCCCCCCCCCCCGGTTGAGGACCAATGGAATTTTGAGGAGTAAGCTAAAAAAATGGGGATTTCTTTAGGGATAGAGTAGAAAAACATGGAATTCTTTGGGGATGAAGCTTTAATTTTTGACAAAATTTTCAGGGGTGAACAAGGAAAGTTACCTTTTCAGAAAATTCTTCAGAGGTAAACCTTGGATGTCTTCAATGGTGAATGCAATTTTATTGAATTCTTCAGTGGCAAGAAGTCCTCATCCAGGGCTGGGAGGGGGGTGGGGGAGTATCAACATGCAACAGCCCAATATCAAATAGAGTTTCACCAAGCTTGCAGTTGTTCAAGTTATTTGACTACTTTATTTTGTTTTAGTTGTATAACGATGATGCCTAAGTTGCGACAAGCTTTGGTAGAATTTCAAGTAAGTTCAAGATTACATGCAGGAGGTGATTTTTATTTATACTACATGGCACAAAAAGTACTGTCTGATAGACTGGGGGCCAACTGTAAAGCATATATATAAAAGTTAGAAATTAATAACAGTATCTGTTATTAGAATAAATAGCCTTACTTGACTGAGGATGTGGTACGACTTGCTCAATCGGTAGAGCGCTTGACCGCGGACTACAGGGTTGTCAAAAGTAGCCGGCTGCCACCGAAAATCGCCGCCTACTTGGTTAGTAATTGCCGGCTACTCTACTTGGCATTTCTTTACGGATGGCGTTTTTAAAATAAAATATCCTTGGTCTAGCCGGTTACTTTGACAACTCAGCCATCTACTTTAAAACTTTCTGACAACCCTGGGAGTAGGAGGTCACAAGGTGGATCCCTGGGACAGGATCAATACTGAGGGCGAGGTTTTAGCCAGGAGGGTGTCCAGCCGTCCTATGGATGCCTATTTGAGGAAGAAATACAAGGAAAATTCACTTAATCTCTTATAATTTTATGGGAAACATGCCTTCTGGATGGCCAGTTTTCAAGGTCTGGGTGAAAGCCTGACCGAGGGTCTTAAAATAACTGGTAAGCAAAGGTACAGTGCACTGCCTTTGTTTTCTAAATGGCTTGGCCCTCGCATGGCTCAGATGTCCTTGTAAATGGTGGTGGTCCCATTTGCAGTAGTAAACATTCAGATAGTGTCGTCATTATTAGTACTTTTGTGCTAAATGCATTGACACTCAAATTAATAAGTTGAATGCCAGATGTTAGTTGTTATTACTTTCTGTGTTTCAGAACATTGCTTCTGCAAAAGCTGTTATGGATTATACCGAGGTAAGTCTTGATATGACCACTTACTTAACGTCTAAACAACAAAATCATGTGTTTTAATGGATAAGGACCTGTGATTATCGTTTTGAATTTTTTGTGCCGAGAAGACCTTTAGAAGCAATGCAACAAAATACTTATAAGTACATCACACCTAATTGTAAGGCAGTAGTGATCAAAGTCTTCAAACTAGCTATCACATTGAAAAACATGTAGCCTTTCATGTTATTTTTTTGTTCATTGCTGACAGTTTTTATTTTATTTAGGGTGGAGATGCAGAAAAGATTGTTTTGTGTGGAAGACCTTGCTATTTCAACTACTCAAAGAGCAAGTCTATATCAAAGTATGTTATAATTTTTCCATCTAATGTTTGTACTAAGAAACCATCTGCAACTGAATTATTTAAATTATTTGTTCTTCACAGAAACCTCAACGTACAGGTAGAAAATCCTCCAGCTAGAATTTTGCTTATCTGCATCATCAACCCACAATATCCTGTTACCACTGTAAGTGGCATATATGTTATATAATTTTTACCCCTAGTCTTTGATATTTTCTTTGTTTCAAATGGTGGATAAAGTTGGTCAATGAGAGTCCATGCTCAAACTTTACATCTGTTGAGTACAGGAACGTTACTGCAATTTAAAATATTTTTTATTATTGACATGCTTAACATCTAACAATATAAGTACAACATGTAGGTGGGATATGATTCTCTTTGCTTTGACTCTGATGATGACTTCCGCATAGGTTTTCGAAATGTCAGTCACAAAGACAATCATATTCCACTCACTTATGATGTGACTTCTGGTTTCAAACAGGTTTATTTACTGTATTGCATAACTTTGTTTGTTTGTAAAGCTTGATAGAGTTGTAATCAATATGTCATTTCCCAGTAGAGTGCACATACCTGTAAAAAGCCACTTCATTTTATAAAATATTGTTCACTTTACACTGTATATCGGCATTTCTAAGTGCCAGTATATTTTAATAGTGAGTATTTATAGATCTGCACCTGCAGTGCATGGTTTTAGTTTACTGAATCTGCATATATTCACTTCAGGATATTCTTCACACCATCTTCAGTAAACAAGGTCATGTCTTAAGAATTGTCATCTTTAGAAAAAGTGGGCTTCAAGCCATGGTGGAGTATCCTTTTCCAGAGTAAAATAAAGTAAATATTTTTCTTTCTGATGCAGTGTATCTTTAAGTTTGTACAGCTGTATACATGTTTTTGCTATGTTCCTAGTGAACTATTATATTGCAGTAAAAAGTACTTTTAGAGGAGGCAACCCTATAACCTTGGGACCACCATGTACATTGTGTAAAATGAGAACTGGTCACTACGTAGCTATTAGAATTTCAGGCTACCAGGATTTATTTTACACCCATTCAGGACAGACTAGTAAATTAGCAAATGAACAGCAATGGTAGATGGTGTAGTGTCAAGTGAAGCTGAGGTGTTGCCTTCATAAGAATCCAGTTCTGTAGTAGTTAGTGGTATTCTTTTGGGCGTGGCAGATAATTTAAGCTGTTTATAATACATGCATATTGACATACATGTACACATATTATTTAACATTCCTTGACAAAAGTTTTGAACAGATTTGCCTCAGTAGAGCAAGCAACCCAAGCAAAAGAAACCTTGAATGGAGCAGACATTTACACAGGCTGCAACACACTAAAGATTGAATTTTCCAGGGTATTTGCAATAAATTTATTTTTACTTATATTAACTGGCAGTAATGATGATTTGCACTGGGTTATGAGTCATTTAATGATTCCCTTGCATCACTGAACTGCTTTCATTACATCGATACTTGGAGGATAGTCTAAGTTTACACTTGCTGTATTTCCTCGAATAATAGCCGGGGGTGATTATTATTTTTTTCACACAAAGAGTGGGTGATTATTTCAAATATTGCCTCTGGAAATTGTGCCCTAAATATTTTTGGTCATATTATCCCACTACATGTAAATCAAAAAATGATCGCATCAATTAAACTGAACATGGACTTTTGAAGTGTTCCAAATTTGTTTCCTTGATTAATTTTCCATGTCAATATCCTCCGCACCATCAGAATTTGAATTGTCACTGATCAGTTTTGCTGGTGCAGACTCCACTTCAACTTGACCTGGAAGTTATAAAAGAAACAGAAGATGGTGAGGGGCAATTATTTGAGGGAGGCTATTATTTTAAATATTTCCGTGGGTGGGGGAAGGGGGGTGTGGCGATTATTCCAGGGAGGCAGTTAATCGAGGGAAGGCTATTATTTGAGGAAATACTTTACATGTATTTTTACCTGATGGACATCTTTGTTCAGGAAGAAGGACCAACTACAGTGTGGGTCACTTATTTTACCGTGAAAGATGTGTCTCCTGAGTTCAAATGTTTTAAAAATTAGGGACCACAATGTGGGAAGTGCTACCAACAGCACTTTTTCAACAATAGCATTTATTTGAAATTGTTGCTATTAATTTTCTTGACATCTTTTGCAGCAGGTAGAGTCACTCAATGTACACAGGAATGATGAATACACTTTTGACTACACCAAGGACTTTCCACAAGGTAACTGCTACTAACAATGGCCAAATCACCTACTGCCTGTACCATTTTCATTTTGCTTCATGGAGACGTTTTTCAGTCAAGTGTTGCTACTCATTGTGTTTGGCTAAATAATACTGCTTCACTTTCTCAAGTACAGTGTACTGTAAAGCCTTTGGTGTCTATATGATCCATGATAGCTACCTTTGCAATAGCTGAAAACCATCCAACAGACGGAAACATTGTGTGGAAACCAGCCTATCTCAGCAGTCTCTCCATATTGATCTGAACAGTTGTTTAATATCCATTTAATGTCTGTTGCAGATTTTTCTTTTTCAGTGATCCTTATGATTACAGCTTGATCCTGCAGAAACCTGCCTAAATCATGTTAAAGCCAATATGATTTGCCCATACATGTCTTACTTCAGCTCATGTTTTTGCCGTAAATTGTGATTTTCATAGTGATTATTAGAATCCAATCATTGGATTGTTTGCTTTTAGTGTTTATTGAACACTTGACTGAAAACGTCTCTAAATTAGCTCAGATGAGAAGAAATTGACTCCATAAATTAAAAGAGCATTCCTTAAGGATGACAAAAAAAAACGTCTGGAAGTTTTTGAACTTTACAAGAAATGTGTTGCAGGTTGCTAACTTCTGGTTTTTTTCTGCTTAAATATTGATCCAGAACAATATTTGCGAGCTGTTTGAATTTATGGAGCAATTTATTTTGCTGGTACATGTTGTTTTGTTAATTTGCTGCCATGATTGTACATATTCTAACAGCAGAGTCAAACAAAAGATAACATAACATAGTTCCCTCAAACATAACCATGTCAAACCACTGGACCATACATGGTTCACCATATATGTCGCTTTAATATTTGACTTGATCCACCATTGATTGTTATGATATCATGCACAAGCGTGAGCAAACACTTGGGCACTAGACAGTATCACAGGAAATGGAAGTCTTTATATTGCCGTAATAGTCATGCAAACCTGTACAATTACATAAACATGTATACAAACGAAAGTATTGTTAAAGATTGCCACACTAAGTTACTAGTCCATCCATAGTGCTTGGTTCTCATAGTGAAGATCGAGTCACCTTTTATTTAAAGCAAAGTATTTTTCCCACTGATAGTTATGTATGTGCTATCCAATACTAAGAAATCACACGATTCCATACAGAAAACTTACGCTTATTGTTAAACCATCTTGTACAAACCAAACAAACAGCTCTGTTGAGTTATGTGTAACATAAGTTATTATTGGAAACAAGCAGTCAGATTCACGTTACCACCTTGTGCATGCCGCATAATGAAAAAATTTGTCTGCCACAACAAGAAAGTTGCACCTAACATTTTTCTCAGTTTTAATGATTGCACTATTTGGCTGCAACTAGATACAAGTTAGACTTGGAAGGGAGAACTATATGTTTACTTACTCTTTGGTAAATAAGTAAAAGCACTGGCATCAAAATGTTCTGATCATCATGCAGCACTTAATGTGTTGTGCAGAAAATTAAACAAGTGATGCATTGCTGTTTTTTTTCTGATTCCATGCTGATTTTTATAAACAAGACTGCTTAAGCTCAAAACAACACTGTCAAACATATGGTACATGCAAGAGAAACGATTTTCACTTTTGTACATCATTCCAAGAGCAAACAATCTATTTTCATTGAATACTTTATTTCAGACTTTTTAATCGTCACAGTCATGTATACCACCATCATGTATCATGTTGATTACAGACTGTATGCTTTTTTACCCTTTTGTACAATATACCTTGTTTGTGTCTTTAAAATTATTATGTTATGAATGTGATAAATACTAACTGTTTTGATCTCCAAGCCTACAACAAGCCCCACTGCGCTTTAAATCAATCAATCTTTCCATACATACCAGTCTTAATTCTAGTTTGATGTGACATAGAAGGCTGATGTAAAGCCAGAGGGGTTTAAGTAAGTCAAGGTATTTTTGGGTATTTTTTCGCCTTTAATATCACTGGATGATAGACTCCACTGGAACATTCCAAATCTTGGCTGAAATATAGCGTTTATGTTTAAGCTTTAGACAGCGGTCTCTGTGCTGTTTCATAAAAAAGCGTGCATGATTCCTAACATGCCTTGAAATTTATAATGAAATTTACTACTAGTCAAGAGTTAGATAATGCTTGAAATAGACCTCTTTAGCTGGCATGTTTTGTTTACCCAATTTAGGTCATGTCATATTACTCTAGAAAACCGTTTCTTTCAAATTTTAAGAACATCATATGGCCTGTATTGGGAAAACAAAGCTTCAAGTTTAAGTCAATAATTATGATGTCTACTTCTGTTATGTTTTTTCTTTTGGCTAAAAACCTGGACTTTGTCAGTGGAATGTTATTAAAATGAGCCCAGCAAAGTATAATGAATGCAACTTGACATATACTAGATAAAGTGTTGTTTTATGATGTTATCTGGCATGTGACTATGCCCAAAAGCTACAAGTGTTTTATGCGGCCAGTTTCTTTAGTCCTTTGTTTGGTTGTTATATGTCAACATAAAAGTCCCTTTCTCAAACTAGAGTGAGAAAACAGCCAACATTTAGAGACGCCACCTTGTTTTCCTGTGAAATAACATCAGAGAAAAAAATGCAGAAATTTCATACTAATGATGCAACAATACTCAGATCTGGGTAGTGCTGCTGATTGGTAAAGTCCCGAGGGAAATTGGCTTCAACCAATCAGAAACACTAGCCAGATCTGGGAAGTGACATGTCATTAGTATGAAACTTCTGTAGTCATTCCTCAGACAACATTTCATGGGGAAACCAGTGTTGGCATATGTTGGCTGTTTTTTTTTTTAAGGTTTATCTTAGCCTGCCAGCAAGTTCTTCATTTGCTTGAGTCGTGAGAAGTCATGTGGGAGCAGCACACAAAAGGAAATGTGAGCGAATCACTGACAAATTCTCTCACTCCTCGCTTCGCTCATAAATGGGGAGCTTGCTAGTAGGCTAGGTTCATCTCGAACATGCTGTCAGTTGTAACAATAGTATCTAGTCAACTCTAATATTGTTTTGTTTTCTTGTAGGAAACATTGGGGTAAGGCCGCCAGTGAAGGAGGGTCTTCTAAGCCGTCCACCCAGGCCACCCTTTCCACCAGGTCGAGGGGGCATGATGATGCATGGACCAAGGCCCTTCCCCTCCCCTCCCCCACCCATGGCTGGTGGCTGTGTCCTCATGGTATACGGACTGCATGATCACAAAATGAACTGCGACAAACTTTTCAACATTCTTTGTTGCTATGGGAATGTTCTTAAGGTGAGAATGACCTGAAATCTGGAATTTTTATTGCATAAGTTTTAGAGTTAACTTTTCAGATTTCTACAATTGTGGTTAAATGACAGTTTACAGGTTTTCTTACTTGCATTCCCTTGCTAACTCTTCCTATGAATTAAAGAGATTTTGTCCCCCTCTCCCTCATTCAAGTTGTCATTATTTGCAAGTGGATGCAAACTTGGGGTAGGTGGGGCTTTGATATTGCACATGACCCTGTTCCTGAAAGACCGATAAGCGCTAATCCAGGATTAAAACTTTGTTCCACTTTGTGTATTTACCTTCCTATGCATTGCATAGAGCAACATTTTGTGTTATCATTTCTTTTTTTTTTTTCGAAGTAAACGCACAACAGTATTATGGAAGTTCAATTATGTGTTCTTAGACAAGAAAACCTTGCTTAAAATTTTGCTTAATCCTGGGTTAAACTTAACCATCTTTCATGGAAGTGGGCCCAGATTAAGAGACACCTTTTCTGGCCAAAATAGGTTGGAGAAACTCAGGCCTTTTGGAACTGCTTGCACATGAAGTTTTGTTTAAGAATTATCAACGTAACCCCTACCAACTCATTACTTTCAATGTTTCTGTTCTAAATTGTAGCTTTTGTGAACTGTAATTTGATGTTAGCCCACGTTTTTCCTTGTAATGTCACCACTTAATGTTGTGAGCGACTGAGGTGAGACAGTGTCTTGAGATCTTAATAAGTGCCAGTCCAGGTAAAAAATTTAATAGTGAGTTAACTTATAAGTGTTGGTCTTTCAGATAAAGTTCCTTCTGAACAAGCCTGGTGCTGCCATGGTAGAAATGGATGATCATGTGGCTTGTAACACAGTTATTCAGTGCCTTGGAAAACAGACTCTATTTGGCAAACAACTTGAATTCAGGTACAGTGTTACAGTAATTAGCAGACTAGTTATATTGACATAATAGGGTATGGTAAGCCTGTGGTATACAGTGCCTTAACTAAGGATTCTAGTGTTTGATTTAAGGCGGTGACCTCTTGACAGTGGAAACATTCTATATTGACACACACCAAAAAAAATACCAAACCTGTGATAAATACCCAAATTGTTTTGTGTGTGTGATGCACACAAAATGACAGGCCTTCAAGAATATGCTGACTGCTTTTTATACAGCACTGACCTCGAAATGGAGAGTAGAGCACTCACTGTTTATTCAACCTCGGTGGGCATGCCAATTGCAACTGCTGTTGTTGTTGTTCTTTTGTTTTTGGTTTTATTCATTATAAACTTTCTTAAAAGCCTCTGTTTCTTGCTTTGCTGTCAGCTTTGTGCTTCGCTCAAGAGGTTTTCTTTGTGCCCTTTGCTATACTTGTGGTTGAGTCTTCGTTTGAACATAAAGAAAATGCGCTGAGGCACAGATGCAGTTGCATTTGTATGGTGCAAGAAAAGAAAGTTGTCGTCTTTCAAGTTAGTAATACTGGAATCAACTACTCAACTACCGTTACTTTGCATGTTTGCAGTTTTTCCAAACAGAAGTACCTCGTAGACCCCTCATCAGTCTCAAATTTGCCCGATGGGACACCGTGCTACAAATCGTTCATGGAATCAAGGAATCACCGATTCTGGACGCCACAGCAGAGCAGCAAAAATCGTATCCTTAGGCTCGCGTTTTCTTAAATCTGGTGAACAACTTTGTGATTGGTTTTGGAAGCAGTAGCTGCAATTCCGAGAGTCAAGACAAAAACCTTTAGCAAACATACGTTTCTGGGAAACTGCCCACCTACCACTCTCTTAAGCCAACATTAACACTTACTTGTCACTTGGGGCAAAATGTTGGCTTAGGGAAGGGGTAGGTGGGAAGTATTCCCAGAAACGTATAATGATCAAACATTCCCTACTCCACTATGTTTTTTTTCCGTCTCCTTTCTTTTTGCTCTTTTTTAAGGTGGGCTAGGGGGACTTGGGTGGTGGGGCTCGGAGGGATGTTTTTTTTTTCATACCCCTTCCACGTTTTCAACGCCAACAGATTATAGGCTAACCTATCCACTTGATTACAGCATGTTTTAAACCTTAAAATTTTGGCAGGAATTTTTTGTCCCACAAAGGTTTTGCACTTTTTCAACGCACCAACTGACTTCTCGTCGGAAAAGGTCAATGAGGTATGGCTTCTCATCAAAATATACGTAGGGTTAACATTGGCATCTGTTTTGATGAACAGTGAAATTGCCATTGATTAGTATTAGCGCAAGCATTAGCAGTAATGCCAACTCACACTTGAGCGCTAACATTAGCAACGTGGAAAAGGTGGAATTTTTTGCTTACCACTTCAGATGTGCTATGATCTCCTTAAAATTCTGCGTATCAGAGCTCAAATAATGATTTGTATTTTTACTCAAGAAAATGCTGGCATACACGTAGCAGTTTTATACTTTGTTTATCCCCCTTTGAAATTATTTCCAATGTGTAACTTTCTGTTTTATTCGAACTGAGTAGATCAGTATCTGGGAAACTGCCCACCTGTCTCCCCACTAAGCCAACATTTTGCCCTATAAGCGAGAAGCAAGTGGCGGGAGGGGGGAGGGGGGAGCGGCGTATGATACAATTTTGTTTCGCCCTTTTTCTCTAGAACTGTCAGAACGCAGAGCAATAATTTTTGAGTGATTTATTTCATTTTCGTCCACAAAAACTAACTTTTCCGCCTGGTTGAGTTGCTTGTTATTGGCAAGTACCGTAGTATAAACAGTGTTTTTGAGATTGATAACCACGACTGTTTCAACTCAGACGTATTATTGTTGTTCTTAGATGTGCTTTAATTGTAGCGTTGATCCCCCAGTCAGAGTAAAAGTGTTCCCTAACGGTGAGTTCTGTTGTTTTTATACCTTTTCTTTCAGCATTTTCATGAACGCGCTCGGGGCTATACTGCCAATTCTAACATCTCTGTCATGTTTTTGTTTCAGCCTCTCGGTCAGCTTCAGGTCATCTGGAGTGGGCTGATCCTTCCCAGGCCCTTAACGCCCTCGCGGCCTGTAATCATTACGTCATCCGTGATGCAGGTATCACTGCTGTTTTATGTTGCCACGCGGTTCAGGCGCACGCACATACGCACCTGCGGTTTCACGTACGCTTCTCGATCTCTTTATCGAAGCATATCGTTTAAAGAAATGAAAGAATTATTTCCCACCTGGACTGTGGTAACTGGCCGCTAAGTGAAGGGCAGTCACTTGTTAACTGATCTATTCACAGCGATAAGGAGTTAATGGATGACATTAAAAGGGAGCACCGCTTGTAGGCTTGGCAAAATCTAAATATTTCATAACTGTTGTGAAAGGGTTTTGATGCTACGGTTAGGTCTTCAGTTTATTGCCAGAAGCGGGCGTATAAAAACAAAATCCGCGTGGAATTTATTGACTGCCATGCCAGCACCTGTGGGCTCCTAAATAATAGTTATTTGCCGCTTTCATGCTTTCATAGTTAATTACCTCAGCAAATATCGACGTTCTAGTCCTAGCAGTATACAAGATGTTTGTCACATGAACTTAGTTTTGTGGCTTTAGTTCCCACGAGTCTATTGTAGCTCAGTGGTGCAGCATGTTGACCAGAAACCAGAAGGTCATAAGGTCGACTCGTGCTGGGGAGTATTCGGATTATTTTTCCGAGCGTCCTGTGTCACTGACTATACAAACATCCCTTCTAATACGAGGGTCCTCAGGTTTAACGGGATCCGGGATTTCTCTTGTTTGAAGCTCGGGAATCGGGATTTTAAAGCAAAATCCGGTAAGACTGGGGATTGAAAGTTTGCGTGCGAGTTAGAATGCCGAAGTATCTCTCGGGATTACGGGGTTGCACGAAATTGTTGGTCGGGATCACGGGATTGAAGAATCCTTTGATACCTTGTCATTGTCATTTTCTCTTCTTTAGGTGCCAAAACTATCTTCACCGTCAAACTAGCTTTCTCATCGATGTCCAGCGCTCAGTAGCAGAGTCCTTCCTACAGCTCACACTACCGCTGACCAACGATAAAGGATTCGCTGCTCGCAACCTGTTAGGAGTTTAAAGTAACAGATACAGAACAGAACGTACGAAGACAGAGTATACAATAATTGACTTTTATTCTTAAACGGCAGAGTTCGTTATCATTAAGAGTTAAAAATTCTGCAGTTTTTAAAACTAGGGGAGAGTTGGTCCACTTCTAAAATATGTTTGAAAAAAGAAATTAAAAGAGAGAGAGAGTTTGCGTAAGTTAAACATGAACGTACATATATTTTGTTTTAATAATAAAGTTTGAGTTTTAATTTCACTTGATCTTCGTGCGTTTAGTCTAAGGAAGTCTAAAGAAAAACTCAAATAATAAAAACTGGGAAAACTTATTCAAACTATAGTCAAAAGAAGATTTAATCAAAAAAATTCACCGACAAAGATTATCCCATCGAACCAGGTGATATTTTAATATTTCTGCTGGGAGTCCTAAGTTAAAAAACAAACGAGCAAACAACAACAACTGTAAGCCTTAATTTACGAGGGTCTTGCTGTGCAAAGTCTGCGTTATTTTCTTGTAAAAAAAGAAAGTGGTATTGCAACAACAACAAAATCCGGGTGGTGGCTAATGTGGGGAGCGGGTCGTTTAATTGCAGGTTAGTTAAGAGTGCTTTACCATGTCCGTAATCCCAACAAAAAAGAATGCATTTCTTTCACTCCATGTATTACAATAATCGTGTTTTTACCACCCCAAAACAAACTTGTGCTAAAAGATAAATACCCTTAATATCTTATTCAAGATTTATAAAGCCTTGCGAAAAATGCTGAAGAAAATATATGCTGATAAATGAAGAGTAACGATAAGATTCAAACTTTTTGTTAAATGAAGAAACACACATACCCTTCAAAGCAACAAAAGCGCAATTATGTCTATGGGTAGAGCGTTGCGTGACATCCAAAAAACGGCTGCGAGGGAGACTATGGGTAGTCCTTCTCCCAGGACGAAACAGAAAGGTAACTTAATGATTTTCATGGGAGTGAAGCCTTGCTCTGTCACGTGGCTTTGAGCTACAGTCAGCTGGGTGCGTTGCTGACGATTGGAGCGGCCTTGTTAAAAGTTAGGAGCCGCTAAAAAAAGGAAGCTAAGTAAGTATTAGAGAAAAAAGTTATTTATTTAAAATTTGGCAAATTCATGCCACTGTTCTATTTTATTTGAAAGCACGTCGTCTACGACTCCGCGATCCAAGAGTATTCTGTTTTCTGTGACATGGATTCTGAACCTGGATTTATATGGGCACTGGTTCAGTCGTTGTCCTTGGAAAACGCTGACATTTTCAGAGGACAACGATTCGGAATAAATCTTCCACTGAATTTAGACTCCCGGAGCAGTATGAGTGTTGAGTCCAGCAGTTCTGGCAGTGGAGTCGATAGGACGATGTATAGAATGCCGTTGTTACAGATGTAGACTTGCTACAAGTCGACCTCTTGGCGAGCGGAGCGAGCCTTTTTTGGCCGCAAAGCGGCCGACCGCGAGCGACGAAGGATTCGACGAAGGACTTTTTGAAAGTCTATTACAGATGCAATCTTTGGCTGACCACTCTACACATCTGCGAGCAACCTGCCACTGTCCCACCCGCGGCCTTAAAAAACAGATTACGCGGCGCGCGCCAAGCTAAAAAATCACGGCTTTTTCGGTCCTTTTTAGCTCATGGATGACGTAGTCATGCCATGGGCTTTTGGAGGCACTCGAATGGCACTCGATCACTCACTCACTCGATTCTCATTAATTTATTCATTAAAGTCAAATTAAACACTTTACTGTTACCTCCCTTAGTTAGTATTACTTTTGTTCCAAGTGCCTTTTACGCATATGTTTGGCATATCCTAGAGGGTACTAGTAAGGGGTACATTCTTTCCCGACACAAAAGAGTAGCCCACCGAAGATGGGCTTTGTATAACTGGAAATATTCTAAAGAACACTGGCAATATCATCTGCATGGAATGATGGACTTGAAATTGTTAAAAGGACTTTGAAATAATTGAGCGTGGATCATTGTTGCATATTTGGGCGAATTGTGCACATTTGTTCCCGATATTACTTGATATGGAGAAGATGCCCGGAGAAGGTGCTATCGACAGGAGTGTGAAAGAACTATCGAAGCCTGACGATGGAATTTCGTTCAGCGAAGAGCGAATAAGCCAAAGAGCCTTAGCTGCAAAGAAAAGATCCTCGAATTGTAAAGCGACGTTGACCTTCACATGAGGAAGCAAATTATTTCATGAGTAAAAAGCGTTAAATAAAATGCTGCGCCGATAACAAGTTTCTAGAATATTCAGGTGCACATGCAATCGGACATTCGACTGTGTCGGGTTTGGATTCCTAAGGTCAGAACACGTACAGCTTCGGGCAAGGATAAGCGTGAGTGCTATAGAGATGCCAAAAAGTTACCGAAGAAATGCTGACGAAATACGAAATGCTTTTCAAAACCGACACTGTATGCCAAAAAGCAGATGCCAAAAACCAAATGCTAAAGAATGTAAACATGATCTATCATTTAACCAACACACAGAGAAAGTCATGAAATATAAAAAAAAACTAAGGAGGATCCTTTCCGGAAAGTGGATATGTTACAGTGCCCAAGCAGTTTAAAACAAATGAATTTCAAAACGGAATGTTTCTGAGTTACGATAAATACAGAGGTGATAAAATGTCTTCAACATTCGGTTGTCAACAATAACGAAATTTAATCACGAAATTCAAGAGCAGTGGCACTTTGTACCCATTCTCGTTTACGATTCAATTCATCCACGAGCTCGCTCCTAGGAGCCTTTGATTTGTATCAGTGTCTTTATTATGAGCACATAATAATCAGGGGCGTCGGTTGTGAAAACTGCACAGCAGCACCAAAGCAGGGAAACTTTAGCTCGTGCACCATTAACAGCTACAAGAATAAAACAGAATTCGGCTGCGACCTCGATGGCTCCCCTGGTGTAAATGGGAGCGAAAACAATTTTGGACAATATCGATTAAATGCCACCAACTCTGCCCATCGCTGTTCGTCACCTTCTGCCTCTATAACTCAACATTGGCTTGGATCTGTCTACGGCTTGTAAACCTTAGGTTTAAAGACGGCATCTAGCTAAAAAAGCTTTGCAGGCTTTTCCTACAAACACCAGAATAGCTGACATTAGGCATATTGAACCTGTAAATCAGTGTAATACACCAGGTAGCCTGCTTGCAGGCTCTGTACTACTATACTGCCGCAATTTGTAATAGTCATCGCAGTTTATAATACCTATCGCAATTTGTAATAAACCGTGTCGCACTTTTTCGCAGTCAGAGCCCTCCCCTGACTTTTACCACAACTACAGCGACACCCACATTGGTCTCCTTCTAGCCGGTGACAGGAGGTTTTGGGCTCCTGCCGGTGAGCAAAGACTCTGTTGCTTGCTCGCAGGCTAATCTCCTTCAGGTGTGTTATTGATCCTCACCACCCCCTCCCATCGCATTCACCATTGTACCTTTCTCCTGGCGCGCGTGTTCTTCTCTAGCGCGCGTATATAGAATCGTTTACCTCGCAAACCCATATTTTTTATGCGCTTGCTATGCAGGCCAAAACAAATGAAAAATCCAGTACATTTACCGTGAAATTACCGTTATTTACCCAAACAGATTACTAGGGGTCCTTTGCGGATGGATTCCCTGGTACTTGGCTCCATTGCGGTGTATATTGGCTTTTTGTGTACCAGAGACTTTTCATGAGAAGTTTCCGGTTTTGGTCAAGTCTGTTTTAAAATAGTGACCTGTGCTTTGTCGCTGAGGCCGACACCGAACTATCCCTTCACAAGTAAGCTGCGTGACAGGCGCCGTATTTGTTTGTTTTTTAGGGAAAAGGGAGAATTTCGAGGGCGCGCGCGAAGAGAGAGTGTTTTCCTCGTGCACTCTGTGAAACTAACCAACAAACTAACTGGGGCTACGCCGCACGCGACAAAAAGCCTCAGACACTCAGGGTAGGTTTTTCAGTTTTCATTTCCTGTTTTTCATTGAATTAGAGTCTTTTATCCTTTCTAATTCCTCTGATCTGATTGGATGCTGATGCCCTATAATATGATAGCGTTGCATACCGTAAACTTCCGCTTATAAAACCCTGGGCCTATACAACTTCGTAAGGGAGGGGCTTTAAGAGGGCTTTAAATGGGGAAAAATGGGGAGCTGACACATCCGCACTAAAAAAGAGCGTTTCCAAATAAGACACATAGCAGTGCTCATCAAAAGACTTTTTGATTTACTCGATTTTTAAGCTTCAAATTTTCGTAAATAATATAGAATAGAATTTGTTTCAGTACAAGCTAGGGTGGGGTCGGGGAGGCTATGGCCGGATCAGATCTTCAGATAAAATCTTCAGATGAGGATCGGGGGCGCCGGTCATCCAGACCCTGAGATAAGGGGGGACCCGGTCTCAAAATAATTTTTTTCGGCTCTTCGGGTCTCATTTTGGTCTAAGAATAAAGCGGGGACCCCGGGCTCCTCCCCTGAATCCGCCACGGAGATGTTTTTTTTGCTTCCGGCAGGTAGATGGGACTATTACTATACTGGGGGATTTATAGGCTGGGGGGAGGGGCGTTCTAAGCGGAAGCTAAGGTTACGGTAGTCGACTTTCGTTTTCAGATGTCGTTCCCGAAGTATAACCTAGAAAGTTGAGAGATTTCCAGTTCTGTTATTACCTGTTCTAATCACTGTGTCCTTGAAAGTAGCAGGAGTTTCAGGAATTGAGGTAATTTTATGATATATTTTTGTATGATGGCCAGTTTGCCGAATGCTATTTTATGAGATGTAGGCTTGGGATGTAGGCACTGTGATTTTATCTCGCTCTACTAATTCCTTTCGGTTAATTGTCTACTATCGGGTGAGTTCAATCGAGTTCCCTTTCCAAACACACGCAAAAAAAATCAAAGGACATCTTACAATGTGGAACTGGAGAGCCCTTTATTCCATATGACCGCCGTAAAATGGGTTTAGGTTTGTTAAGCTGAGGTTGTTCGCTTACTCAACCAACCGTGGAATCTAATTTTAACCATCATGGCAGATGGACTTTCTGCCTGCTCCAATAATTCGCTGATTTTCAGCAAGCAGTAGTTCTTTTCCTTTTTGACGAGTTAGCATATCCTGCCTTCTATCCTTTACCTTATTTCTTAACTTTGAAGAAAAAGTATTATCACATCTCTATGCATTGTGATGCCCCCAATAATACAGATAATAGAATTCATTGTAGGTATTCTGAATATGACGTTGTTCAAGTTTAATATCATTTCTAATAAGTTTGCCAAAGTTTTGGAAAGAAAAAGTTAAATTGTGTTTAATTTCTCAAAAGCGAAAGTGTTTTGCTTGAGAAATTGACACAAACAAAAAGATATAACGAAAACAATGAAAACATTCCTAAAATACCCTAAAAATACCGCGTTGATAATTTGTAGGATTGTATTTCGCCGTGGACGAAGACAATAAAAGTATGGATTGCAAAATTTAGGCTTAGCTGGGGCTGAAGAGGAAAAATGGGTAAAGAATATAACGAAAATTTTCGACTTGAATTGAACTTACATGCTGTTGTAACAAAAGGTTTGGGGATAATAGAATAATGAAAACCCAATTCCACAGTCAACTGAATAAAATGCATATAGCTGGTGGAGTTGAATAAAGGTCAATTAGAAATCCGAGTTGTCAGGCAATAGTGTAAGATGTTACAATGCGTACTGTTCAATTACCCTAACTTCAGCTTGCGAGCAGGCTAACTTGTGGGAGTGCGGGGAACATTTTTGGCGTAGGAGCCGTCAGCACGAGAGGAGTCGGGCGAGGAAAGTGGTTCTCCTCCCTCTGACGCAGTTGTTGTTGTCAGTCGTGACGAAGCAAAAACGGTTGCGTGGGAGACTCTTGATTGTAAGCTCCCCTCAGGGGGGGGCCCACGACTTAGCGAAATTTCGTGTACCTATGATCCACCGATTTATGACATCACATCCGGTTGCAGACTTGCTGCTCTGTTTTCGCGCGAGGCACAGAGATGGACGCCCGATGCTATTTGGTTTCCTCGTTATTTTTACCCACAGGCTAACGGAATTATGTATCTTGAATGCCAAGAATGTTAAGAAGGTATATAGCCGGCCTTTCAAGCAAATTTCATGACCAAACAAAGAAGTTTTAGTATTATTTTAACGATAAATATCATGCAGCTGCGAGGAATGTCATGGCTGGTCTTGCGATGTTTCAAAACGAGTGTCGTTAACGTTTTGCGGCTTTTGCGGCCTCTGATTTAGAGAAGACATCAATCAACATATAATTTCCTAAGCGGAATAGAATGGGGAAAACGCCGACGGCCACAGTTTAAAGTGTTCACCGCTGGAAGGCTGTATCACGCCCCGTAAAGTTGCAGAAACTTCCACTCAACTGCATGGTTTTGAGGAATGTCATGGCGAGTCTTTCGCTGTTTGTAATCGAACGTCACTCAAGAGTTTGGCTTTTGCGGCTTCTGATTCATCAAAGTGATCAATCGAAAGTGCCTATCCTGAGCGAAATTCCGTGGAGAAAAAGCTTATAGTCACAGTTTAAAGTGTTAACAGCTGGAAGGCTTTATAAACTCGACGTGAAGTTGCTGCAAGGGCTCAGTCTTCTGCTGTTCGAAGA